CTTGTAGTCTGAGGTATTTTGCTGTCCGGAGAAGAAGAGCCAACAACGTCTCTTCCCCAACTCAAGATATTTTGAGATAGAAAACCATGTAAGAATTTTCCTGTCTCTCTCAATAACGTAATAATAAATCAAAGGGGTAACAATTATCAGTTCTTTCATGAAACTAGAAACTAGTTGCTTCACTTTGTCTAATATTAGAACTTGTCCAGGTGAGTGCCTTCTGCTACTAGCTTGTACAAAAGCCCAGAGAAAGGGACTGTTTTTCAATTTACCAGGCTGAACACTCTGTTCTGCCTAAAGGATATTGACTTATTTCCTGGTGAGTTTTGCTGTATCAGCACTTGGCTTAAATGACATATTGCAGTTTCACCTCCATCATTTTTGTGCTGTGACAGCAGCCCCATTTCACTTGTTCTCCACTCTTGTTCCTCAGACATGGATCCAGATGTTATGAACAAGCTGCCTCCTGGGGGTGCCCCATGATTCTGCTGTCATCCCGGTCCCAACAGTAGCCACCCTCCTGCAGCCACTTGCAAGTGGACTTATCCATCAGCATTTCTGCAATCAGCCAGAAACCAAGCAGCTACTTGACATTTAGGAGTTGCCAAATTTTACTTTGCATGGCATTCTGAAAGATGAACTGTGGAAGCTTCTTGAGGCTCTCCGTGCCTTACATATTATGATAGCTACTTATTATTCTCAGTATTTGACAGAGTAGCCTTCAATCTTAACTTCTGGGAACACACGCTGGAGGGTGTTATTGCATGGATGTCTTGTCTGTGGGCTTCATTGGTCACTGTGTGAGTACAATGCTTAGATTAGCCTTCGATCTGATTCAGCACACCTCTTATGTTACCAAACAGTTTGCCTGCTTAGCTTCCAGTTGTTTGCTGTGCCAGCATTACTCAGAAATCTCACTCATTTTTGAGTGAGGTGGAAGAAACATGTTGGTGGCAAGTGCTGCTGCTGTAGCAAGTGCTGGACAGCAGGATCAGCCCTGGTATAGCCTGCTGTGATATGTGCCAGAAGCTGGTGTCAGTCCTGCTAATAGGAACAGAGAAGGTAAAGGCACTGTTGCAAACTCTATCTCTAATATCATGAATGGCACTGTCGCAGTCCCCTGAAAATCCATGCTTTGGCATGGACTTCTATGTTTGTTTAGAACGCGCATATACCCCATCCTTTATCATGAGGTGGGGAAGGGCCAGTAGTGTGCATATGCACCGTGATTCCCAGTTGAAAGGTACCAGTTTAGAAACCTCAGCAAAACCTAAATACTGTCTGTTCAACACAGCGGTCCTTGGGGATTTGACCTTTCAGATTTTCATAAGCACGCTGGAAACTTTCTGAACATTTCATACAAAGAAATTGTTACAATTCCTCCGTTAATCCCTGCAACTCATTAGGTCAATCACCTCTGTAAGGATACAAACTGCCAAATGATCTCTTCCTGCTTCAATTCTCAAATGTCAGGTGGCTCTGATCTTCTTCAAGAACCTGTTAAGGTGAATTGGGTAGCGGCAAAGCTTAGAGGGAGCTGTTGTGTACAATACAGATAAGAAGATTTTATGACCATATACCATGCTTCAGATTTCAGTTAGTCTACAGAAGACATAAGAAGTGGTTAACTGATGAGGAAACAACCCTTTTATTTAGTTGTGGAGGTAACACTACTCTGAATGAATCAACTCTCACAATCATGGTAGTGTGAAAAGATAAGATTCTGAGGAAAACAAGGCCCAGTGGAAAGCAAGGATCTTTAAAAGGGGATTTCTGCAGGAGAGAATTTCTCAGTTTCATCTGCTCATCATATAATCTAATCAAATCTGTAGAAGTGTTGCTCACCCACAATAGAGTATGCCCAGTATGACAATGGACAGATTTGCACTTTCCCAAATACTCTTTATGAGTAGAATTCTGATACCCATATGAGGAAACAATCAATCTGAGCCAAACACAGTGGGAACGATGCTTTTATATTAATTAAAATGGAAAAATAGAACTACATTTCACATTTTTACATCATATAAAAACAACATTGGTTACAAATAACAGGGATTCCAGAAGGAAACATATTTGACCTACAAACAGCTATTAAATTACTGATTGGATGGTGAACAATTAGGAGCAAACTTTTAAGAGATAAATTAGTAGCTTATATTTCAAAGAAGTGTTTACAGTTACTGAGTTATGTTATGACACTTAGAAGCATATAACTTGTTAAAATACCGTGTGAGACGGTTCAGAAGAGACACCTGTCTCACACGATGATAATACTGCTTTGCCAGGGACATGATGTGATCCAGCAAACATTTCTATTGACTACTATTTAGTTGCTCTTGCCAAGGCTGAACAACAGTCCTGAAGAAATGAGTGCATTGCAGTAATGGGAGGAGGGGAGAAGAAAAGCAGTAAATCTACATTTAAGAGTCAGACTAGACATTAATGTTTCACCCATTTCCCCACACCAGATTTTCCTGATATAACTACTCAGTAATCAGACTTGCCTGTGTTTATCTTCCAATGGTAAAGGTAAAGGTAAAGGTTCCCCTTGACAATTTTTGTCCAGTCGTTTTCCACTCTAGGGGGCGGTGCTCATCCCCGTTTCCAAGCCATAGAGCCAGCATTTTGTCCAAAGACAATCTTCCGTGGTCACATGGCCAGTGCGACTTAGACACAGAACGCTGTTACCTGCCCACCGAGGTGGTCCCTATTTATCTACTTGCATTTGCATGCTTTCGAACCACGAGGTTGGTGGAAGCTGGGACAAGCGACGCGTGGATTCGATCTTACGACTGCTTGGTCTTTTGACCCAGCAGCCCAGGCTTCTGCGGTTTAGCCCACAGCGCCATCACGTCCCTTCCAATGACCAATCACAAAATAAGGAAAATATGAACTGTGGCAAACAGATTTCCTTTATCAGTTTGAGGACCTCCTTGGGATAAAAATAAAACTAGATAAATTTATAGCTTAGCTTGTATTTGCATGGGAAAATGACCTAATATCTACCTGTCAGAAGATATAACAATAGTCTGTCTTTCAACCCTTCTAAATGTAAGAAGAACTACTTTCTCCAAGTTTTCTGCTGTGGCATACAGAGACATATATACACTATGGTTGCATATAAAATAGCTAAGGATAATTTTGAAGGCACTAGATATAGGCTGGGATCCAAAGCAATTCCACAAGCATATGATGGCTTCCTTGTTTTCTCTTTGCAAACTAACACTTAATGTTTTACCAAATGCCAAACATGAAGTTCCCCAGGCTTCAGGAAAAGCATTTTGGATGGTTCAGGGCAAGCTACCGTTGGAGTAATGGAAGCCTTAGAAGAAAGGAAGATCTTTCTGCTCTTTTCAGATACCCATCATGGACATTGGAACGTCATCTTAACACTGTTTCGCCTTTTTAAAAGGCCACAGTAGCACCAGACTGTGCACCAGATTCTTTTTCCATATGGGAGGAATACATCTTTCATGTGCTGCCCACATTTGTATGGTAGGGACAGATGGCTTCATCCTAATTCACTTACATTCAAAGGTGTTACCTACTCTAAAGAAAATATAAGGAAAAAATATACCAAAACATTGCAGTCACCTGTAGCTGATAGTCAGAGCAGGTGGAGTGGGGGCATCCTGTTCCCACCTGCTCAGATTGTAGACCACCCCTGCTTACAGTTTCTTAGTTCATTGGTCTCCTTGTATGTGCCAGGTTTCTGAAAATTATAGAATTAATTCTGTAAGTTCAGGAGCGTTTTAGACTTGTGCTGTTCTGTTTCATATTATAGCAATCTGCTTCTGAAACGAGATGTTGCAAAATCAGTTTCTCATGTACTATGCGGATCAAGAAAGAAGGTAAAAATATCATTGGATGAACCTGATACAGTATTACACACCCTCATCTAAGGGTTTGTTTGTTTTTTTTGGCAGATAAGACGTGAAAGCAGTTGATTTCTCTTCCCTAGAGGGGAAAAAACAATGAACACTCTACACTTCTATGATTCGGTGTTCGCTACAATGTTTCAGAAAGATGAATTCCACCATCTTGGAATAAGATTCTGCACTGAGGTATGCTTTCTTTGGTTATTAACTTTTGTTTAAAGCAGTGGTCCTCAATGTCGGGCCTCTAGATGTTGTTGAACTACAACTCCCAGAAGCCTTCACCACCACCTCTGCTGGCCAGGATTCCTGGGAGTTGAAGTCCAAGAACATCTGGAGGCCCAAGGTTGGGGACCACTGGTTTAAAGGATGCAGTTTCAATACAATATTTACATCATAAAAATTATATTTTAATGTCAACATTTTTGTAATAAAAATTTAAATTTACATACTGTAGGTTGGGGGAAGAGGGAATTTATTTTCTTTGGCTCTCTGAGATATAACTGTTTTCAATACACAGAACAATAAACCTGTTGCTACAACTATATGGTTTTTGATCCAAGAGCTTTCCAGACTTCAAAGGTGAAGCTTGTCCCATGACTGCTAGATCTGCTGTTCTCCAGGCTTCACAGTAGTTGCTAATTAGTCGTACTCCATGTGGACTTGAACCATGCCAAATGACTTTTTGAGGCCTAAAGGTAGAAGCACATTTTAATATTTTGATTCCTTCATATAATATTACAGTAGTTTCATCTGTATACTTAGTTGCTTGTGGTCCAGGTCTAATATGAATCAACTTAATACTCACTGAACAAAGTGCATGAAAAGAGAGTGACTGGGGAGGAAAGATCTTACTTAGGGCCCATTCAAATGAGGAATCTGCAACCCTTTCAAGTTTCCTATATAAAGCATGGATCATACCAAGATTTTTTTTTTGTCATTCAGGTGACATTGCCTCTTATCCTGGTATGTCAACCACAAACTGGAGTGGTGTTTGTTTCTTCTTTGTTAATGTAACACATCTTTTTATCCTTCCCCAATCTGGTACGTGTGCATGCCCTTGTGTGTGCACACCACTTTGCTGAGCTTTCTTTCCCAGTCTGAATCTTGTTTCCCCTTTTCCTTCTTTCTTTCTTTCTTTCTTTTTCTTTTTGCAAATGATCCTAGATGTTGCATGCTATACTGGGGTGGTGTTAGTTTTGCTCTCTGGCACTTTTCTTAGTTTAAAAAGAATATAAAAGTACAGTAAACTGGAGGAGGTGCAAAGCGTTGGAGGAAGCAAAGGTGCAGAGAGTGGTGCAATAATCTCTTTCCTTCCAAAAGAGGAGGGAACAGTTTAGTACCTGTGGTGTCCTCCCTGGTCATGAATATTCATATGTCATCTGCATAGACCAATGGGAGTGCTGAAGGGGCGGAGTCGCGAGATATAAGAGACTCAGCAGGAGGAGTTAAATGGGGAGCTAGAGATACAGAGAGTTGAGGAGATTGAGAGTTGAGAGAGATTTGGGAATGTGGGCGGGAGAGTGGTGGTTGAGAGGGATAAAGGAGAATGTTTGTTTAAGAGTTAACAACACTGCTTATCCTATCAAGATTTGCACTTTCAACTCATTATACAACAGATAATGTTTACAGAGATTTTGAAACTTATGGCATTTTGTTTCCAAAAGTTATATCGCATAACTGCGCAACAGGGTTTCTGCCATAGATTCTATCACCTCACCTCCAGGAGGATCAGAGATTTTCAGAGACATACTTGTTGAATAATTTTAACAATTAAAATACCAAGCCAATCTTTCACAAAATGTATGGTAACATAAACAATTTGAGCATGAATGTGAACTTACCAGGCTGGATCTGTCATGACATTCCTACCATCAAATGAGTATATTGGAATCTGAATGTCAAATTGGCCCCCATTGCCAGAGAAAATGGATTCCCAGTTACTGAACAATGTTTCCTCCTTTTAGAAAAAAGAAACAAGAAACCAGGTATCAGGAATGAAACTAATCAAATATTTAAATTCCAGCTTGGCGATGGAAACCCACTTATTAAATACCTCACTTACCTTGAAAGCCCTGTTAGGGCTGCTATGACTTGACCCCAGTTTGATGGCACACAATATACACACAGTATCTACATCTTTAATAAATGGCCATGGCGAGGATAAGGGTAACTAGGTACAGTTAAAGGAATGGAGTATAACCAACCATGCCTGTACTCGTAAAAGATGTGTTTGTTTCCTTATACCTTTGAGGCTCACATGTGCCACAATGCAATAGTCTAGTTCAGTGTATTGCACACATCAGTTGAAATCCTGTTTGTTGTATTCGCGAAGGCTTTCATGGCCGGGATCTAATGGTTGTTGTGGGGTTTTCGGGCTTCTTGGCCATATTCTGAAGGTGGTTTTTCCTAACGTTTCGCCAGTCTCTGTGGCTGGCATCTTCAGAGGACAGCACTCTGTGCTCTGCTGTCCTCTGAAGATGCTGGCCACAGAGACTGGCGAAACATTAGGAAAAACCACCTTCAGAACACGGCCAAGAAGCCCGAAAAACTCACAACAACCATGAAATCCTGTTGCTTAGTGTAGTAACTTAGAATACTCCCATTGAATCAATTTCATGAGTCAACTCCTCCAGAAGTTCCATTGATTCAAATGAGCTTTCTCTAGTTGTGACTTCAGCAGAAGTTGTCATGACTGTGATAAAGCTGAGGATGCTTCCAGATGAAGTATTTATTGTGCAGTTATTTTGCCTCATTTACATAGCCCTTTTGGGAGACTTACAGATTTCCTCTTCTACTTGCAAAAATGTGATCTTCCCATTTCAATTCTTTTCTCACTAGAAATATGTTAATGAAAGAAACTCATACTAGATGCGCAGTGCACACAGACAGACCAAGTAGCAGCAGTTATAGGAGAGTTGTCTGGGAAAAACCATGAGTTTTTAAAAAACAAACCCAACATGTCTTTTACCTTAAGATTAACTATCGGCAGGTGGTATCTGTCTGCCTTCCTGACAACTGTCAAGATATCTTGAAGATGTGAAGACAAGAAAGCTCGGTACGTTGAGGTTAAGCCAGCAGCCCGGGCTTGTTGAAAGCACTGGTAGTCGGCTCTCATATCACCAGAAAATGGGGTGTTCAAAGCCACGAGATGAAGCTGCAGAGTAAAGAATGAAAACAACTTTATTGTAATGCACCACACCACAGAGGGGGAACCTAAGCCCACCAAGCTTGTGATCTTTCAATCTGACCCATGGAGGCCTTTAGCAAGGCCAGCTCCCCTCTCCTAATCCCAAACTCCCTAAAAGAAGAGAGAGAAGGTGTTTGAATGCTGCTGAATCAAGCTGGATATGGCTCTTGAATTCCTAGCACTGTTTGCTTCATCCTTCCTCTACCATTCTAATTGGTGAAGGAAAGTGGAGAATGAAGCCAATTCTGTATGTCTGTATATGTGTGGAACAAAGACAGAAGGAAAGACAGTAAGGGTGGTGTGGAGACAGAATTTGTGGGGAAGGGGAAGGACCAAGAAGCACTGGGAATGGAGGTGGGGTTTGATGGAGCTACCCCTTCATCTCTTCTTCTTAAATGTCAACAGCCATTCCCTAGTCTACATCTATAGGGTGAAAAAGGGAGTCAAACAATACTTTTCTATCTACAATCTATTATTATTATTATTATTATTGTGGCTGCTGTTATTGCTGCATGGCTGCCCTGCTATTATTATTGTTATTGTTATTGTTATTGTTATTGTTATTGTTATTGTTATCGTTATCGTTATCGTTATCGTTATCGTTGTCGTTGTCGTTGTCGTTGTTGTTGTTGTTAGTATTATTAATTTGATTTATACCCCACCCATCTGGTATATTCTACCACTCTGGGTGGTAGAATATCACTTTTATTCCGGCCCTACTGATTACAGGGATGTGTCCACAGGGATATTTTTGCGGCTAGAATTTGCACTGCAGGAGTAAGGCGAAACCTCTGACAGAACTGCTTGAGCTGGGTCAGCATGATGGAAATGGAGAGTGGGTGAGCCCCTCTGGCTTTGTAAATCCCAGAGGGACAGGCCTGGTGAAAGAGCCTAGAAGGAAGGCAGAAAGAGCAGGTGTCAGCGCCTTAGGGAAATCGAAGGCCAGGGGAAATGAAGCAGAGGGCAGTCCGAGAGAGGAACTTTGGAAGAAGGAATCCTTCCAAAGATGAGGAATGTGGTAGCAGAACCTGGAGAAATAATGGACAGAAACATGAGATACTGGAGGAGCTCCATAGGTGAGGAAAACTAAATTTCATAAAGAGATTGAAACTGCCTGCCAGATCTTTGCAGACTAAAGCCGTGGACTGTTACTGTGCTCTTGTGCAGATAATATTGCTTGTCCTTGAAGAGACAAAAGTTGGAAAAACTAATGGGACAGCACATTCCAGATGAGAACATTTAGACTAACTATTGTGAAAAATAATTATTTGTCAGCAGCACAGACTGAAAGCTGCCTCCAGCCATGGCAAGCTAAATGAGGTGTGAAACTACTACCATCCTTGCATCCTTCATTCTTATTGTTCCTAATTCAAAGTTAATCATTGGAGACATTTTACTATTTTACACTGCAAGCACAATATAAGTATTTTAAAATTAGGAAACAAGGAAAAAGTAGATTTTTTTTTCTTACTACCTTACTAATTATTCAAAACTAAAACTACAAATACATATATTATATCGAATTATATGGGATGTGTGTGTGTGAGAGAGCAAAACAGGTTTGTTTAACCAAAACACTAAAATGTTCTAATGACTCTGCTAAGGATTATATACTTGGGATGGTGTTTAAAATATAAGAAGCAAATTTATTCTTAAAAACAGACATATGTGGTTTTGTTGACCAAGGCCACTGACCACGGTAGCTGCGGGGTTCCGAGAGGGATATGATTGGCAGAAAGGCATTAAAGGAAAAAAATCTTTCAGATTCAAGTATTCTAATGCCTATAATGGAATCCAAGAGTCTCAGCGATGTTGAGGAAAAGGCTACACACCATGTGTTGCACTGAATGTGCTGTGCAATCTATGTCAATGAACTTAATCAGCAACAGTTGTAGGATGTTTCTGCACTATCCGTGCCTCTTTTAGTCAGGCAAATCCTCTTTTTCCCATTCCCCCTGGAAATGTCTTTGTCCACTTCTGAAGAGTACCAGTAGAATTCACCTCAGTGAGAGCACTGGGTAGGAGTTCCATACAGGTTCCACACTGTGACTTGACATAGCTGGAATTCCTCTCAGACATACTAGCCTGTCCTGATGAAGTAGCTGTTTAGCTAGGAATTGCTGTGATACAGCTGCATATTGCTCCATGGATAAGAATTACAGTATCTGTCTGCTTATGATCAATAGGAAAATATACTCTTTCTCAGAGTAAAATAAAGTTTTAGCACATCTTTAGAAAAGGCAGTTATTTGTCATACTAACAATACATATTTCTACCCATTTATCTTTACAAATAACAGGGTTTGTTTTGTGAATGATAATTACACACACTTAATCTGCAAGTCTGATGGCTGAAGTATGTAGCTCTGAGGAAATTGCATTGCCAGAGAGAAAACAGGTTAGCTGGGTCAACGAGAGGGAAGATGCATATTGCCCAACATCTAGTCTGGCCATGATTGTAGTGTTCTCACAATATATGTTCATCATGGGGAAGTCAATCAAACACAGAATCATCTCAGAATGACAAAAAAATGGATTTTATTTATTTAAAAGTTGCCTAATACTATAATGTGCATAGTATTCTCTTACAATCTGTTTCCAAACTTCACTGAGCAACTGAAGTGTGAAAATAGATTTTAAGAGATATTTGCATACATCACTATATTACCGTCCCTGAAGAAGATCAGAGAATGAATTGGCTGAAATGTATGGGCCAATTTTTCCAGCATCCTACAATTTAGGGTAAAATCAGATGGCTTAAAAGGCGTGCATCTGTTTGCACCTCTTTAACGGGAGCAATCTCCTGCCATGGAATTGCTCCAGGCCCACCCCCCACCCCCAAATAGTAGCCATACAGCTGGGCCAAAAAAGTCCAGATTGAGAAGAGACAAAGGTCAGGTTGGAGCAAAATTCCCCATCTGTCATGTGACTGCTGGGAAATAGATTGCACAAGCAGTTCAAAATGTGATCTGTTTTGCTGTGTGGTCATATCCTTAATTTCTCTTCTTGATTCGGTTCCAGTTCGTGTTTCCAGTTTCTTTTTGCTTTTATCATTGGGTAGTGAAGTGGAATTCATATTCCCACAAGAAACCAAAAAGCCTACAAGTGACTTTACCCATAGTTTGTCATGAACTGTAATGCCTTCTCCTGCTATCTCTTTGTAGTGCAAACACACCCTTTATCACTCAGTTGCCTCACCCCCCATTACAGCACAAAGCTCCTACTTACGCTTGGCCTTCGACTGTCTATACTTGAAACAGGAATCACTGCTGGAAGGGGTTGAAATCCCTATTAGTTTAACACAACAACAAATTTCAAAGGTTAAAATAAAGCACTGAAAGCAGAGAAAACAAAGGTAAAGAAATAGGTGAGATTTTGAAAGCACTTAGAAGAGAGGCTTGAGCTATGCTCTAATCTCCACTTTGCAAATCATATGACAGAAGTGTTTATGAACAACACAGCCTGCATCTTCAGTCTTGTGCCCATCCTTCACAATTAGGCAAGGTTTCTGTCTTTCAAAAAATGGCAATGGGGCATCTAATTGTATATGTTTATCCTCTCCACAGCTCTTGACTAACATTAAAAAAAGGTATAAAACTGCTCTGATGACCGAAACTAAGGGAGAGAGGTGTGTTGATGATTTCATTGATACTAGCCAATAGACCCCACTTTTTTTCTCACTCACTGAACCAGTCTTAGAACCTGCAGAACTAGCTTTCCCGTTTTACTTCACTGTCACATCCCACACCAAGTGTACAGAACCATGTGGCACATTGTTATAGTAGTAAATGGGGAAGTTTTTCATGGCATAGCCAGACAGCCCTCCAATAAAGACCAAAATCACAGTTAAATTGGGCCATATTAACAAATCAGAAACAAGGCTTTTGTACAGCTAATGGGCCTTAATTGCACATTCAAGAGCAAACCACCCCCAAATACAACAGCATAGCAATAGGTTGTTTTGGGAAAATCTATTTCTCTCTCAGCTATTCTGAGAACTGCAGCTAAGCTCACGGGGAACAGGGAAACTGGAGGAGGGCTGTCATTACCTCTGCTACTCTGAAAGAATCAGAATGCCTCACTTGCTCTTAGAAGTTTCTCCCAAAGCTACTTATGGATTATAGTTTTCATTGGCAATGGCTGAAATAAAATTTAAACTGTGTATAAGAGTGCTACTGTACTTACAAATGATGGTTTAACACATGGGTGAATGTCTACATGATTTGCTAAGTGCCAATAGTCCTTCCCAGCCCAAGAAGATAGGAGAAAAGCAGAATGGGCAAATGTTACATATATCCCTGCAGTCATTCACACTATTCTGATATTACTTCCTAAGAACAATGAGAGCTACAGGTCCATTACCCATCTCTGGCTACACATTGGCTATTATGAGAGTTGCTGGCATTGAAGTTCTGCTTTCAACCAGAAAAGTGTTGTAATACTTACTGGGCTTGAAATTGCTGGAGGTGGAGGGCTGTCAGCAGGAATAGGAATAAGTTCACCAAGCTGAAATAAAACACAACACCGTCAAATATAAAATTCTGGCTACTTTTATTTAGTTAAAAGCATCTAAAAATAGCTGCAAGCAATTAATAATGAAGACAACACCAGTAAGAACAATATCTCTTACTTTAGATGGAATTTGCGGCCCACAAATGTACAGCATCTTAAAGTTCTTCAACTGTTGCTGTTTTCTCCTGTATCGCTAGCTGTAACTAAGTGATCCATATTTGTATGGTTCTCTTCAGTCAATGAATTAAGGTTGCAACCCTAGCTTCCATCTGCTGATATCAAACTACCACTAATAGTGTTAATTTCTAAATAAATAACCTAAATATCTTTATCTGCCTGAAAAGTGCAAATGTAAAGTTGACCACTACTTTGCTGCAGTTGCATTAATATCAGGGATCTAGTCTAAACAAGGAGATGATCTTGCTATGAAGACGATGATATGAATTAGAGATGGGAACAAACCAGAAAAATTGTGATTCATTTTGATTCATGATTCATCAAGGTCGATGAACCACGAATAAGATATTTACAATTTTTTTCCTGACAAATTGACACATCAAATTGTTGATTCACTTTGCCTTTAAAACCCTATGAAATGGGCCCCCAGGTAATTAGAGGCACCAAATCTGCAGAGCAGCTTCCCCTGACTCTCCTCTACAAGTCCTGCATGTCTGGTGAAGTTTGGGTTTCGGATGCCTGGGTTATACACCCACAAAAAGCCCTCCCCAGAAAATTTCCCTTAGGCACCTAGAGACCCCAAAATTGCATGGAAGCTTCTCTTAACTCCACTATAGAATGCTTCCAAGTCTGACTAGAGACCCCAAAATTGCAGGGAAGCTTCTCTTAACTCTCCTATAGAATGCTTCCAATTTTGAGTTTCAAACATCTGAGTTATATACCCACAAATGGGATCCCCCAAGGAAAGTGCTTTCAAACATCTGAGTTATACACCCACAAATGGGATCCCCCAAGAAAGTGTTCCTTAGCAGCTGGCCTGGGGAAACCCAATCTTCACCAAACTTGGAGGAACTGTAGAGGACAGTCAGAGGAAGCCTCTCTGCAATTTGGTGTCTCTAGGTGCCTAGGGGGCCATTTTATAGCTCGACAAATCGACAAATCAAAAATCGCTAAAAATTCATTGATTCATATTCGTCAGGACATTGATTTGTATGAATATGAATTGATGAATTAATGATTCTTGAATGATTCAATTTTTGATTTGTATGAATATGAATTGATAAATTATTTTGAATGATTCAATTTGGTGATTCGTTTTTTAATTTATGCCCATCTCTAGTAAAAATGTATAAAAATATAAATGTGTTCTCTTCTAGTTGATACTTGAGCTAAATTGCAATTTAAGCAGTTAAACAAGAAAAGGAAATATTCTCAAATTCTTGCTGTCTTCTAGCAGGAAAGTTGGAATCTTTTCACTTTTCAAAAAGTCACTTTTCTCCAAGTAATGTCACTACTAGAAATGTGCATATATATATCTGACGTTTTGAAAACAAAACTGTATACAAATACTGTACATATTCTCACCACAGTGCTTGCTGCCCTTTTTTCTAATGATTCTGGTAAAGCTCTTACTAAATGTTTCTCATGTTCTCAAAAGAGAACAGAACTTTTAGTTTCACATCTTGCATCTGTGGCTAAAATTTTCAGCATCTCTGTTCAAAGACTCAAAGGAATATTCCATGTTCCGCTGCTGCTTGTACTTCAGTAAGAAAAGAAATGAAGGAAGCAATTTTGAATGCTTTACACAAGCAGAATCTTACTACCTTAGATGACATGGCAAGGAAACAGGAACAGAAACAATGAAGAACTGTATGAAATAAATGTTTGTTCACTTAATAACCAGTGTAATTTTAAAGGAAAATATTCAGCTGACAAATCTCCAGTTCTCATGGAAGTGAAGCTGCATTGCCCAGAATTAACTATTACCTGCAACTTTTTCCAACCCTCTTGAACACGAATAAAAACATCACTGGTTTCACTAAGATAGATCAGTGTGCCTTCTGACACTAAATGAACCTTTTGCAGCATACTGTCAACATTGCTGAGTGTTGTAACCTGTCAAGAAAGAAAGAAGAAGAAAAAGACAACTTGGTCAAATACAAACAATGTAGGTTTTCTCAGGACAAGAAAGGACCAGGAGTTCAGTGAAAATTTATTTCCAGGCCTAGAACAGCACTGTGCTAATAAATTGGAGAAAGGCACCCACTGGCTTCTGACACTGGAAAACAACATCCCTGCTTTCTTGGGAGACCAGTCTGGTCCTGTTCACTCGTCAGAGAAAGAGCTGCTGCCCCACAGCTTGATTTCCTCTTTTGTCCTTACAAACTTTTCAGTTCATATTATGCTTACTTCAGGCCTCCACATTGCAACCCAAACAATTACCGTATTTTTCGCTCCATAAGATGCACCTTTCCATAAGACGCTTTAGGAGAAGAAAACAGGAAAATATAATCTGTTTTCTTCGCTCCATAAGACGCACAGACTTTCCACCCCCCTGTTTTGTGGGAAAAAAGTGTGTCTTATGGTGCAAAAAATACGGTACTTCATGACAGTCATAAAGTGAACTATTGTGCGATGAATTTTATTTTCTTCTTCGACTCGGTGTTAAAATAAGGATTTGGTTCCTGGAAAACATTTGTGCCTTAAAAATGAAACCTCTCATGTCTTCTGTCTCACACCTCCTCTCTCTTGTTCACTTACTGGGTGGTCCCTTCTGATCTCCTCTGTCTCTTCGCTTCTCTGCCCCAACTCCTCCTTCTTGACCTATTCGCTGGGTACTCTCCTTTGACCTCCACTCTTCTCTATGCCCCAACTGTACATTTCTCTTCCTGGCCATTCCACTCCAACGTTTGCTTTCAACTCTCTTTTCCCTTCCATCTCTATTCTCTTGCTGTTACACTTGGTGACAGAAACAAGGCAGTTTACAGTGCTCGGTGTCAGTGCTTCAAAAAGTGAATTTTGGAAATCAGAGTTGGGGGAGAGGGCAATTAACTGGACAAGGCTTAGAAGATATTAAGTGATTTATAAATGTGCAATCACCATCGTAATCAACAAAAAACATGTTACGGATACAGACAATATTGGACTAGACGGACCAGCAGCCTCACTCATTATGAAGCAGGATTCTTTTTATTACAGCAATCTTTCTCCCAATTACTGAGATTTATCCTCTTCTTATTAAATGAAATGGCCTTGGTAGATATCTGCGTGGTTCCCTTTTTATATTCTGAGCTTTGAAACATGGTTAGACTTTATATAACAGATATTTTCCCTCAGAAATTGACAATAAAATAGTCCATCTATCTGGAATATTCAAAATGAGGTTGTATCACTTCCCTTTTAAAAAAAAAAGAATGCTATAAAAACATTCAGAACACATAGGAAACATAAACATATTACATACAAATGTTACATTTACCGTAATGAACATTAACTGATAATATTTACCCATGATATTTAGATATAGTATGCAAATCCCCATACATCTATTATAATTAAGTATATTTTAACATCATACCTATTATTTAAATCAGCAACAAAAATACATTTTATATTAACGCAAATGTGAAAAATTGGTTCTATATGAATTAAATGGAGTTCATTACTTTTTGATTGTTTCTTTCCTTTTTCTTCTCTCTTATAATTACACATATTCTACCAATTTTCTCATTTGGGCCAAATGCTCATTATTACTAAACCATTCATTCCTGGTTGATAAATTCAGTACTCTTTAGAAGCACTCAAAATTGTTGCTTCATTTAGCAAGTGCCATAGAAATTCCAGATGTTCTTTATGCAACATTTCTAAAATATCTTAGCATTACAGAATTGGAATGTGTACCCAATAATTTCACAAATAGGCATAATATCATTTTTTTTAAAAAAAATCATGTGTTTCCAGTATTCCACATGTTTATGGGCTATATCCAATGTAAGCCCTACCTAAAATATTTATTTTTATTCACTTTGGCCAGAATCCTATTGTATATTTCCATGGGTGTAATGCTAGTGATGTAACTTTCAGCACTGAATTTCTACAAGTTAAGAAGTCACAGCATATGTTTCCTACACCATACAGAGCTACCAAGTTTCACCACTGCAAGTTATGCCTTGGGCATTACACCAGGGGGCACAATTAAAAAGATTCCATTGTATTTCTACCCAAAACAATTGAAAAGAACATGATTAGTTAGACAAGAATAATGCATGTCTTACTGATTCTGCTCCACGTAATGTTGCCTTTAACCTAATATAAATTTACATATTTAATCACTAATTTGGGCAGTTGCCACATCTAAATCACACACCATGCTAGATGTCAGCAAATATCTGAAAGTATTCATGCTGTTCTACAGCATGACATGTTCTTTGTCTTCATTTGTCGTATTACAATCTGAAGCCCTTACAAATAAATGGCTGTTTTCCAAGGAAAAATAGTAGCTGTACTAGATTTTTAAACAGTATTTTCCTAAAGATCGGTATATTGTCTAGTGAGCCATTACAGCATTTCACTTTTGTTCAACTGCTTAATTTATGGAACATAATAGTTATTCAAAATATTACTGCCAGCTTCGTCAAACAGTTGTAATTACACAGGGGCAGGTAGCAACTGGCTATGACTCTTATTGGCACTTTGGGGGTTCATAATCAGGTGGGGGCTACAAACTATCCGAACTGGAACATTTCTATGCAAAACACATTATATTCTATATTATTTCCATTGCACTTAGTTTCAGTGAGATATAAAGAAACAAATAGCCCTCTTACCAAGTTCCTGCTCCCTGGAAGGCCAGGTTCTCCAGGAGGCCCTGGCGGGCCTGGCACAGCTGCTGCTTAAAGAAAACCAATGCTGGATTAATTTTACATAGACATTCCAATTGTTTCATGTTAGTCCTGATATGAAAAATGCTGGCAATGTGCCTCAAAAGATTAATAAGTTAGCAGAGCTTGGAATGTTACTGTTTAAAAGGAACGATACTATTCATTACTTCTTGGCAGCCGGGTTGCAATTCTTGATGCAAGGTGCGCAATATATTTTTGCTGCACATTATCAACCTATTGCATTCTCATGACCAACATGTCATAAAAATGCAAAGAAATGTTCTCTTGTCCTGTCTAGTGGCCAATGACAAAATTGTGCCTTGGAAATATTTATGAAAATACAGTACAAACGTTATTTTAATTTTTTCAAATTATGACGTCAACAGCTACTTTACTAAGAACAAATGGAGGATTGAGATCAAAGGCAGTTTGAGTCAGGTCAGGCTTATTCATGGTTATGACATTTAGATGTGCATGTAGGAATATCTCAATTTAAAATTAGCATGAATGAGTCCAAGAGAGACTTCTCTTAAAATATTCTTTCATACTTTATATCTCATAGATTAGCAATTACATACCAAAAAAAGTTAAATGCTGGAGCTGCCATTCCCAAAATACAGTTATAGTCTACATGTTTAGGTCTTGCTTAAAAGTACTTTCCTTTTGGCAAACTTCGACTGAGGGCATGATTACATGAGGCAAATGTTCCCTAGTTATACCCTTATTAGATCATTGTAGAAATTTCCAGTCACACAATGCATAGCCATTATCGAATAATTCACCCAGCGATTTATTTCCCCCTCTTGGGGAAGCTTCTTTTATTTTGTTCCAGTGGCATTTCGATATACATTAGGACCCCCTTATCCTTTGAATCAGTATTCATTATTCACTTATCCACTGTCTGAAAATATTAAAAATATTAAAAGAAAGCCATCCAGAAAAAACTAATTTTAAATCTATTACTGGAACCAGCCACTAGAGGGAGCCAGAAACCATGCTATGAATAATTCTGTCCTGGTCAACCTGTTGTTTCAGGATGTAGGAGGGAGGGGGACAGGCCGAGATTTTAGCCTTGGTCTCCCGTGACTTCTCATCCAGACACTTGAGGATCGTTGGTAGTTTCTTCACAGCTGCCCTTCCGAATCTCGGCCCTTTTCCGGTTAATTGAGTGCCTGCAGTTTGTTTGCATTGATGATTGGATCACGAGGTACGATGGATTGTCACATAAATTTATATTATTAACATAATTTAAAAATTCATTTAAAAATACAAAAACGTCTCCTTTGCCCCTTAAGATTGACAATCAAATGCCATAAAACTTGAAAAATCCCTGCTCAAATGCCTATAAAATGGTTTAAAATGTTTTTTTGAAGTAAACTTTGAAAGTTTATTACTCATTACATGTAAGTAACATAGGTATTACCTCATAAACTTAATACGACTGGCTCACAGAAGAACAATGAATCCAAGATTCCTGCCTTTTAAATTCTCCCCACCCTATTGTTGTTGTTGTTTAGTCATTAAGTCGTATCTGACTCTTTGTGACCCTATGGACCAGAGCACGCTAGGCCCTCTTGTCTTCCACTGCCTCCCAGAGTTGGGTCAAATTCATGTCACTTCAATGACACTGTCCATCCATCTCGTCTTCTATCGTCCCCTTCTCCTCTTGCCTTCACACTTTCCCAACTTAAGGGTCTTTTCCAGGGAGTCTTCTCTTCTCATGAGTTGGCCAAAGTATTGGAGCCTCAGCTTCAGGATCTCTCCTTCCAGTGAGCACTCAGGGTTGATTTCCTTCAAAATGGATAGGTTTGTTCTCTTTGCAGTCCAGGGGACTCTCAAGAGCCTCCTCCAACACCACCCCATTGTTCCTCCAAGAAGAGGTCCACCCCAGAGGGGCTCCTGTCCCCTTCCAGGCCAATGCCAGTGGCTTCGGAGAGGTCATTCGGGGTACCTATTAGAGGTGAGCAGCTGTGAAAGGGAGGTCAAAAACTCTGACCTTCTGTCCTGGTCAACCTGTTGTTTCAGGATGTAGGAGGGAGGGGGACAGGCCGAGATTTTAGCCTTGGTCTCCCGTGACTTCTCATCCAGACACTGAACCCAGGTCTCTTGAATCCTAGTCTGACACTCTATCCACTACACCACACTGGCTGTGCCTGCTATATTGAGATATGTTACCTTTATTACCATTCAACAGGTACCAGGGTTTGACTGGCCCTACATTTTAATACAAATTATTGACTGAAATCACACTTAAAGTAGGCCCATTGAATCAATGGAAAATACAGAGGAGGCACCAAATCGTCACTGATTCAATGGGCCTACACTAGTTGCAACCTACTACTGCATTCAGGCAATATGTGGTAAGGATCAGATACAGTACTCTGAATGTTACTAGAGTTGCACTGGTAACAATAACTTCTTTGAAGCTATTCTCCAATCCTAACTCTAACTAGATCTCTAACCATATCTCTTTGTCACAGGTCACACTTCGTAAAACATGAACAATAATGATCAGCCAGTTAAGGTAGTAGTGAAAGCAACATCCAGTATGGGATGGAAAGAGCAACATAGTTATGCAAGGGCAAGTAGGTAAGTTTACTTTGTCACTTAGGAAAGCTAGGGAGATGTGCAAGATTTTTTCCAGATTGTCCAAAATAAATAAATAAATAAATAAATAAATAAAAATAAAACAAAACAAAACAAAACAAAACAAAATAATCCAATGGACAGATAAACTTTATGCATGACGAGCAACATTTGCTATGTACTAGAATGAGAAACTGAGATAGAACACTTTTTTTGCTTTTTATGGATTGTCACATAAATTTATATTATTAACATAATTTAAAAATTCATTTAAAAATACAAAAACGTCTCCTTTGCCCCTTAAGATTGACAATCAAATGCCATAAAACTTGAAAAATCCCTGCTCAAATGCCTATAAAATGGTTTAAAATGTTTTTTTGAAGTAAACTTTGAAAGTTTATTACTCATTACATGTAAGTAACATAGGTATTACCTCATAAACTTAATACGACTGGCTCACAGAAGAACAATGAATCCAAGATTCCTGCCTTTTAAATTCTCCCCACCCTATTGTTGTTGTTGTTTAGTCATTAAGTCGTATCTGACTCTTTGTGACCCTATGGACCAGAGCACGCTAGGCCCTCTTGTCTTCCACTGCCTCCCAGAGTTGGGTCAAATTCATGTCACTTCAATGACACTGTCCATCCATCTCGTCTTCTATCGTCCCCTTCTCCTCTTGCCTTCACACTTTCCCAACTTAAGGGTCTTTTCCAGGGAGTCTTCTCTTCTCATGAGTTGGCCAAAGTATTGGAGCCTCAGCTTCAGGATCTCTCCTTCCAGTGAGCACTCAGGGTTGATTTCCTTCAAAATGGATAGGTTTGTTCTCTTTGCAGTCCAGGGGACTCTCAAGAGCCTCCTCCAACACCACCCCATTGTTCCTCCAAGAAGAGGTCCACCCCAGAGGGGCTCCTGTCCCCTTCCAGGCCAATGCCAGTGGCTTCGGAGAGGTCATTCGGGGTACCTATTAGAGGTGAGCAGCTGTGAAAGGGAGGTCAAAAACTCTGACCTTCTGTCCTGGTCAACCTGTTGTTTCAGGATGTAGGAGGGAGGGGGACAGGCCGAGATTTTAGCCTTGGTCTCCCGTGACTTCTCATCCAGACACTTGAGGATCGTTGGTAGTTCCTTCACGGCTGCCCTTCCGAATCTTGGCCCTTTTCCGATTAATTGAGTGCCTGCAGTCAGTTTGCATTGATGATTGGATCATGAGGTATGAAATCTCCGGACTGTTTCAATTTCTTCGTTATCGGCGTTAAAGTGGTGTGCTTCTTCCATTGTCCTTATTTTAGTCTTCTTACGGTTGGACTGCAATCCTTTCTTCGCTGGCTTCCATCAGAAAGGATTTCAGATGCCACTCCTGCTCTCTGCTCTAAGACGCTGCCATTGACATACAGACCTTCCATGGTTGATGTTTCTGGGACGGGAACTCCAATCGCAGGATTCTCTTGTCAAGTTGGTCTTAAATCACACCAGTGACTCGACCTGGATTCAACTCAGTTTTTTTCTTTCTCAATGACTCCGACTCAAATTGCAACTTAATACCTGGCTATTTAGGCAGGCCTTCCCTCCGGGCATCACTTGATCTTTTTTTCCCCCTCCTATCTTGAATGATGGTTTAATGTTGTAAATTGTTGCTATATTTTAATTGTTTTTATTCCACTTGTTGTGAGCCGCCCAGTGGGGTGGGGAGTGGCAGGTGCTGTTCCAAAACACAGATCAAAACATGGTGCACGCATTGGTGTTGTCAGCGTTCAGGCAGCCCTTTGCTATATAAAGCTTGGCATCCTTTTTCTTGATGGCAACATGGGCATGATATTGCGCAGCAATACTCGGCCATTTCCTGGTTTTTCGAATGTTCAATATTGTGCACAGAAGCACCATATCCCACATTCATAGACCAGACAATTTTTGAACAATTGAATTTTCTGCCTTTTTAAAACAGGAGTTTAAATATACATAGGCTACCCAAAAAATCAATCAGAAATCTCCCTCATCTAGTGGTAAGGGATTCCAGAAGATGAGAGTATGAGATATGTTATGGGTACAGAAATGAGAACAGCTTGGATGTTGCTATGGTCCCTCTGTGCCAAAATATTTTGAATGGTTGTTTTGTACTTAACGAAATCATGAAGCAAAGGTGCGAGTAGGTGCAGCACAAACGATGGAGAAACATAAACACCCTTTAACCTCTCAGTTGAACTAATGTTGCCATGCCCGCTCCACCAAATGCAGATTGGAAAGCTATGTTCCGATTTCATATCCCTTTCTTTGCTAGGCAAGCTGAGGAAGAAAAGCTAGATTGAACAAAAAAAAATCTACAGATATGTTGTGTACATGTTTTCCAAAATATATCCCTTTGCTTTTTGAAATTAAAAAAAAAAAAGGAAAGAGTTTGGAATTAGCCAAGAATGTCATTGGAAACCAAGGTCAAAATCATGAATATCATGTGGAAGGAAGGTAGTGAAGAAAAACAGGGACAAAAATCAAGTCATTTGAAATGTGGTGTTGGTAGAGGTACTGAAGACAGCCAGAAAAGCAGAAAAGTGGGTGCTCAATCTAGTCAAGCCTGAACTCTCACTCGCACAAAAATGAGCAATCTGAGTCTATGCCACCATGCATATATAACAAAATGGATACTTTGTTTGTGAGGCACGTATATTGAGACATTAAATATGTGTGATTATAATAGTGGCAATGTTGACAAGATTAGAGAGGCCAATCCCGGTTTGATGGAATTGAAATGATTGAAAGTAAAAGGTCAAATTTACAAACTTCAGGCTTTTGCAGACGATGTAGTCATTATACTGGAAGATCCATTGCATTCAATAGAAGACCTGATGGTGACGTTGAAAAACTTTGGTGATATGGCAGGAATGAGAATAAACCAAAAGAAAACAAAAATACTTATTAAAAATATAAGAGAACAAGAACGACAGAAGTTAGTAGAAAAGACGAACTTCTAAGAGGAAAAGAGAATCAGATATTTAGGGATCCAAATTACAAAGAAGATGAGTACATTATTTAAATATAATTATATTAAATTGATTAAGGAGATACAGAACAATTTGAGAAATGGGATAAACTACAATTATCGTTGTTGGGAAGAATTGCGACGATTAAAATGAGTGTCTTGCCAAAAATTCTATTCTTATTTCAGACAATCCCTATCATATTAAAACAGACCTTTTCCCAAGAACTTAATAAGATAATTATGATATTTGTATGGCAAGGTAAAAAAACCAAGAATTAAAATTAAAGCAATGCAAGATGCCAAACAGAGGGCAGGTTTTGGCCTTCCAGATTGGGTACTGTATTATCGATCTTGTATTTTAGATTGGATAAAAGAATGGATAAATAATAGATAAGCTGGTATGGGAAATACATCCCCGCCTGTATGTTCTGTTAGTCTTGTATGATTTGTTAGTTTTATGTGTTGTTGTTTTGTAGGTATTTGTGTGTTTTTTTTGTAGGTATGTATGTTTTAAAAAATAATAAAATGTTAAAAACAAAAACAAAAATGTGAACATTTTAAATCGCTGAACTATTTGCATAGCATTGCATTCTGACCAGTTAGAATGTACCTGGAGTCATGATTTCAGTGTTGTAATCTGTGAGCACAAATAGGGCCTATGACTGGACAGTGGTTTGGGGATTATTCAAGTTAGAAATCGTGTGGATCCATGAGGATCTGTGCATCAGATCCATGTTTTTGCATCATTGCAAAACCATGTGCTGGTGGACATACACATTTCTGTGGTGTAGTCTGTGGGCACAGATGGGTCCTCTGATTGGATAGTGTTTGGGAAAGATCCTATGTAAAAAACATGTGGATCCAAGAACTGCTGGATAGTGACACATCTTTATACTCAAGGATATTTTCAAGTTTCTTTATAGTTGCCCTTTCATGTCTCAGTCTTCTTTTGATTTCTTGGCTGCACTCTCCATTTTGGTTGATGAACCCTGGGTACATGGTCAGCATTAAACAGCTATAATTCTTCTGTTGCCATGAATTTGTCTTAATGTTCCACTAGCATCCTGCTTTGGCACTTTCTTCTTTCATCTTCATCAAAACTCATTTCAAGTCACTGCAACTTTCTGCCAGTAATATGTATTATTTGCATGTCTTAATTATTGATGATTCTTCCACCAGTTCTCAGTTCTCCTTCATCTTAATCTGGTGCAGCTTTCCATATGATATGTTCTGTATACAGACTGAACAGGGAGATAAAATGTACACTTGCCTGACACCTTTCCCTGTGAGAAACCATTCTGTCTCCATATTCTGTCCTACAATAAACTATTAGCTTCTTGTTTCCAGTACCAGTTTTGCATCAGGGCAATCAAGAGTTGAGGCATACCCATTTCTTTCAGAACAATCCTCAGCTTTTCATGACCCACACAAAGGCTATACTGTGGTTTATAAAATATAAACTGATCCTCTGCACTTCTTTGGTATGTACTGTACTAGTATCCAATGCATATATGCAATGTGATCTCTAATGCCTCTTTCTTTTCGGAACCCAGCTTGAACATCAGGCACTTCTTACTCCATATGGGGTAAAAGTCTTTATTGCAACACCATGAGCATCACTTTGCTTGCAAAGGAAATAGGTACAATGATCCTGCATTTAACACAGTCCTTGGCATTTCCTTTTTAAGGGATTAATCCGTAGGTACATTAGACAGAAAAATGACACTAGGACATACCTGAGCCATATATTGCAGGAGGTCCTGGGGGACCTGGAGGTCCAGGGGGTCCGGGAGGCCCAGGGGGTCCAAATCCTGGAGGCCCAGGTAGGCCAGGCACCCCAGGGGGCCCTCTAGGCCCAACAATCGTGTCTCCTTTTGGCCCCTGTCGAAGCAGAAGACAGAAGCATTTGTAAACAAACCTCTCTAGAGTCTGTTGTGAAGTCGTTTGCTGAAATCAGTCACGTTTGCTAGTTTGCTGTTCAGTCTGTTCACAATTGCAAGTAAATAAATGGTTTTTATTCTTTCTATTACTAATGTCTCAAAGTGAGTACATAATTGAGACTATAAGTGTCAGTTAATGAGAAAAGGAGTGAACTATTCTGGGGAACCTGAAGCTATTCTGCTCTGTGAGGCCCTGCACCTCTGCTTCGCAGCTAGAGGAATTTAACTGGAAATTCAAAACTCTGCAACAAAATTAAAAACTGTTGATTCGAAGGGACTTGAAGGCATCTCCTATGTAAGGACTGTATACCAACACTTTATAGACACACACATATAAAAGAGATATTAAAGGAAATGAATGGAAGCCAATAGAGCCTAATGCAAATATATACATCAATGAATACCTGTATTTTAATACTTAAATATGGATTTGATAAACCATTATATTGCATGGAAGAAAACCTCACCATTGGTCCTGGTCTTCCAGGGAGCCCTGGCTGTCCAGACATAACAAACCCTCCATTTGGTTCTCCTTTTTCTCCTTTAAGGCCTGTTCCTCCATTGTCTCCTTTCTCACCCTTAAAAGAGAAAACATACACAATGTATTTACAGAATACTACATCCCGCAGTGTTTATGTAAATATAAGTAGATACTGCTTCTTTTATACAAACTTTAGATGTCTTTATTTGAAGGGAAATGATAGAGCAAAGTATTTTTATAAAGTTACAAAAGCTCAAAAAATAGAGCTAACAGTTTCTGTTACTGTATTCCAGCTTTTCCTCCTATGTTTGGCTCCTGACAACATACTCTAAAACACATGTTTTAGAGTCTAAAACATGTGTGGCCTTCTAGTTGCTGTTAGACTACAACTCCCAGCATTCCTCATTATTAGCTATTCTGGCTAGAGCTGACGCAAGCTTCAGTTGAACAACATCTGGAAGACAGCACTTTGCCTGCCCCTGTTCTAGCACATCATTAATCTTTGTGGGGAGGGTCAGAAAAACCTTGGCATATAGGTCATATGTTGGATCCACTTGCTAACTGAAGCAAAATGTTTTTTCCCTCCACCATGCATATTGGAGGAGGAGGAAAACAAGCTGTAAATGGCCCTTTTAAGTTGGAGTTTTGGTTTTAGAGAAGGCAAGAGGTGTCCAAAGAAAATCAGTTTCAGGGATTCAGATTTTATGGTGGAGTATATTATAAACTGCCCAGAGAATGGCAACACCAATGAGTCAGTATAGAAATGGAAGCAAAGAAATAGACAACTGCTTCCTGCTGTGAGCTTTCTTCTGCTTCCACATGTTCAGTTATACCCACCACCACTTCACTCTTTTATAGTAAGATAACTTTGAAATATGATTGGGAAGGAGCACAGTGCAGTTTGGGTACCTTCTGTTGTTATACAGAGCAATTTCTTAGTTCTACCAGCTAAAATGTACAAAAATATATATGTTCGGTAATGCTATTAATCATAACATTTTTGTAATGTAGGCACAACATTTTAAGAGATAGATGGGAAACATGGAGCTGTGAGAAGCCAGGTACTGTACTAGCATTTCCTCCATTTACCGTAGTTTTCATTCTTAGATTGCAAGCAATCAAGAAATGTTGGGAATGAATCAATTCAAAGATTTAGACTACAATTTAGGCTCAATGTATGGCGGACATACATGGTATACCTTCCATTTCTCTCCTCTACGGCCTTGTGTGGCAGGTTAAAGGGAGAGTCAGCCATAGACCTGGGGGCACCTAGAGAATCAGACTTGATTACAGACCTCACCAACATACATCCAGTATGCTACACCACACTAGTGCTCATTTGCAACCATAAAATTGCAGTAATATAACAATGAAAAAGGCTATCTCTTTGTAAATGCCAATGCCTTCTAAATAATCTGAACTGTACTTGTGGGTTGGGGGGGATACGGTGTCCAGGGACAATGGAGAGTAGCATACACTGCAGCTTTGCAGAGATCTTTAGTTACAATATCAGCAGTGGATCTTGGCACATTTGAAGCTCTTCAATGAATCCATTACAGGTACAAGGCAAGCTATCTTTCTCTTTGAACCTGTCTGCTCTTGTTATTATGTCCTTGCCTGCTATGGGAAAGGTGGAGACAGTATCAATGCAACAGCTAGCAGTGTGTAGGCTCTTAAAGAAACAAGCCCCGACCCTACTTTGGAAAGTGGCAGCTCTCTGAAGAACAAGGCTAACATGTGAATATGAAAACTATTAGGCTGAAAATGCATAAGAATCATATAAGCGGGAGGAAAAATGCATCAATTGTCTTACATTGTCTTACATTCTTGTCTTACATTTTTCTGGTATTTCACATACAAGGACCTTTTTTCAAAAAAAGCAGGTAAAATTCAGCTGCTAACAGGCAATAACTACCTTCATGATGCTTAAGTGGCCAGAATATGTGGATGGCAGAGGAGGACCTGGAAGGCAAATCATGTTATGTAATTTCAATTTCTATTAAGCCTGCAAATATTTTTGTATGTTGTATGTGAAGCTGTTGATAATAATCAATTATAACTTCCCATGTGGCAGACATAATTTTCTCGTCTTTGTTAAAGAAGCATTAACTGACATATCTGGCATAGATATACAGGTATCTGGAAATGGATGGACTGAATTAAAATGATTGTTTTTACTCATAAAGCATTTACTAAGATTTCTGTAACCAAATGGCTACCCAACGCATTAGCAAAGCAAAATGGATGAACTCCTGTGTCCAAAGAAATGGATTTTAATCCATGAAAACTCACACTGAAATAAATCTGTTCATCTCTGAAGCACTACAATATTTTGCCCTTTCTTCTTCTTTTGTCCCCTTTTACTTTTGCTAACATGGGATATCTTAGTCAAGGATCCCCGTGTGGCACGTAGCAAGATTTGAACGATGCTCATCTCAACACAGCTATTATATTTTGCTAGCAATCGTGCACTAATCTATTTTGAACTAAATTGTTAATATCTTTTGCTTAATTATTAATTAATCCAAAATCATCAAATAAAATGTTATTTCGTGAAAACCAATGTGGAACTTTGCAAAAATATGAAGAGATGCTCCCTACACTTCATATTAGATGGCAGAAGATGGTTTCGGGAACAGCTTTCCTGATTTAAAATTCCAGGGTTCACAATTCTAAATATTTATTTTGTATATAACTGTACCAATGTCAGTCTGCCTAAATTTTACAGATATTATTTTAATATATTTATAGTATATCTTCATTCACTATCACCATTTAAAGTCAAGAAAAAGCTTTCCCCCGTGTGTTACCTGGTGGCCCTGGTGGCCCTCTGTCTCCTTTTTCACCTTTGTAGTGCAACGAACCATGGACGCTCCAGGATCCTGTTTTAAGAAAACATTACTATGAGAAAACATTGTTTTGGTTAAAGGCAATTTGTACATTCCATACAACGTCCACAGCATACAAGACATCAGCAGATTTGGGAACATGGAAAGCTGGCTTATCCTGGTCCAGCTAGCCCAGTACTGTCAACAGATAGTGGCAGGATTTATTCCTAGTCCTACTTGCAGATCCTTCAGAAGATAACCCTGGTTATCGTCTATCCAAGCAGAAGCTAATCAAGAGAAAGGCGGCACATAAATAAAACAAACAAACAAACAAACAATCTGGCCTGACCCAGCTCAGCTTCCACGATGTGGTTAAATCAATATGTTCAGGTTGGCATGGTGAAAAAAGTGTTCTGTTGGATATCTGTATTCCAAAGCTCCAGGAGTTTCAGAGTGAGGTTTTTTGTTTTTTTAAAAAAATTCAACAGCCTGGTTCTTTCCAAGACTGACTCAACGCAAGAACAGAAAAAGTCCAATCTCTTACAGTGACCTGCCTTTTCTTATTTGGTGGGGTCACTTAGAGAGAGGCCTCGGATGATCAAAAGTGCTCCTGCAGTTAACTTGTTCCCAAGAACAACTTTAAAGGTCAAAGTCAGCAGGTCAAATGGGCCCAGAAATGAACTGGCAGTTGGCACAGATTGCAAAGCACTGGTACAGACATGATTGTGGTACAGCTGGAGCCTTTGGCGGGGTCTACTCTTGGTGTTACTCTGCATGTCATTCCAGTTATGTTGCTGTTTCATGAGGCAACACAAAGCACCCACTACAAGGTAACTGTGTGGTTTCCTGTGGAAATGATGCAAGTGATCAGTGGCTAGGTTGATACCAAGAATGTACATCAAGGTGGCACCGTCAGCAAAATTTTGGGTGGTGCTTGGCAATGATACTCTTGCTCATATCACCCACTCTGGGTCATCGGTGTTACCCAGGAAGGTACATTCCAGTTAATTGGGTTTTTGCTTGGGGTTTTTTGTTGTTGTTGTTTTTTGGAAAAAATATGACGCATCTGCACATGTACATATCAAGGTTTTTTGTTGTTGTTGTTGTTTTTGGAAAAAATGTGATGCATCTGCACATGTACATATCAGTGAAGAGAAAAGACAGATACAAACAAGAAAAAAATCTTGGTTGATCAGTAGGGGCAGTGACGGTGGAAAATGGCAGGCCACAGAAATGGAAATGGAAATAAAGGAACAAGGAATGACCCAAACAGAAAAGAAGGGCAAAGAGGGGATTGCTGGGAATGGGGCATTTTGATCCCAAGGGTTCAAAACATTGTCTTGTCCACCTTGATGCGGGAAACACTAGAACACCTACTGATCCAATGGTCCAAAGAAGTTTCTTGTCTACCAGTGCATACACTACACTCATGGATCAGCTCCAAATTGTACTTGAATACTAGCAGTACATTCACAGCAGAAAACTAAGAGTAAAAAAGAATTGTGCCAGAGTGTTCTTTTGCACCACGTGAAGTATTGATATCACATATGAAGCAGGCTTGATATATATCTTTTGCGTAAATCAAGCCTCATTTACTGCTAAACTTACCATCTGTCACTCCTTGGTTTCCGAGGTGATCAGTGCTTACCTAGGCACACAAAAATTATATTCACAATGCAAGTCCTATAATTTTAGTTACAAATAAAATATTTGCATAACATTTCTCTGTGCCATAATTCTGAGCAGAGATGGGGAAACTCTTGGCCACATATTGACACACAAACATATATATATATCCAACTGGAGGCCCTCATTGGTTTGTCACCTTTGGTCCTGATAATTTTTATCTCTGCTCAGTGATCAAAGATCTTTCACATTCCTATGCTGTAGTGAGGATTTCAAAGACCTCAATTTAAGATTATTAAAAGTGTAATTGCAGTACAGTAGAACCCCCTTATTCACGGGGTAATCCTCTGATACTCTGACAATATTAAAAATATTAAAAGAAAAAAAATTCAGAAAAAAATCTATTTTCATATGTATTACTAGAACCAGCCATTATTTGTGAGTGAAGAATACATAGCATGGTCTCTGTCACTGTCTAGTGGCCAGTTCTTGTAATGCATTTGAAAATAATTTTTTTCCTAGATTTTTTTTCCTTTTGCCATGCTCTCTAATATAGCATTCACTATTTTCTGCAGTTTTAAGTATCCACTGGGGGTGGGAGGCTTGGAACCTATCCCCAATGGATATGGGAGGCCTACTGTATGGGAAAATTTTTCAAATGGGGGTTGCTGCTGGGGCAGGCAAGCCTATTCAACTTCATTAACATGCTATGATTCCCTCCTTGAAAATTTACCCTTACCTCTTTAAAGGGTGATTGTACTCCAAGTGAGTATATGTATGTGTGTGTGAAAGAGAGAGAAATGAGAGAGAATGAATGAATGAATGAATGAATGAATGAATGAATGAATGAATGAATGAATGAATGAATGAATGAATGAATGAATGAATGAATGAATGAATGAACTGAGGTCTGGGCAATCATGTCAGGGGTTCACATGGCCAAAACTCTGTTTTGCACTTTAGGTGACTACACTGTTCACTGGTGTGTTTCTATCAAGAAACACAACAGCAAAACAGTAGAGACAGGAAGGAAAAAAAGGAACAACAACAGAAGCCCGAGAGGAGCATCCCGCAAGCAGGACAACAGAAGTGTGAGGGACAAGTGAGAAGACAGCAGTGGTTTCATTTGTAAAGCATGACCAATTTCCATGAAACAAGCCCCTATTTTAACACTGAACCTAATAGGGAAACAGCTTATTTTACGACTGCCATCAGGAAACCAATTAGGTTGGCTAAACCAAGGTCACGGATTCTACCTTTCCACCCTCCACTCAATTTATTTCTTGCACTGCTGCCGCCAGCACAAGAGTGCTGAGGGAGAGAATAGCTGTGTTTCTGAGAGTCCACTGAACTCTGCTCTGTTTGGCAGGTTGTCGAGAAGACGATTGTGCTAGTGGAGAGAGACAGTCATCACCCTGCACCTTCTCGTCCAGCCTATGTGTACTCCCATCAGCCTGCACAACAGCTGCTTGAAAAGTTATCAGGAGCAAGAAGATACTGTACTGCACAGGGCAGGCTCACCTTGCATGTCTTCTTCCTTTAATTCAGTGGGTTTGAATTCTGTGGGTTTAATGTTTGATAGCAACCATATTTTATCTCAAAGGTTTGCTCCTGCCCTCAAAGCACACTTTCAGCATAAAATACTATTAGGATGAACACCGAAGCAGTGGAAAAAAACTACACAAACAAAACAAAAGTCAGATAAAACTAAACAGTAGATGTATATATTTATGTTGCTAGTCCTCATGAGGGGGCACACAGGTATATGTTCATCCATGACCAATATTAAGGATAGACACTATAGATTACTTACTGTTGTTTTGCATTGAGGCCTGGGAGAAATTGGAAAAACTGTCTATTCAAAAATTGGAGAAAAGGAAATACAGTAAATACTAACATTTTAGGGGGAAAAGCTATAGATTACTAAAATATGTCACTATTTGAATGATTTTTTTTTGTCTAGACGTTGAAATCACATTTGACAGGATACCCCCAATTACAAAAACAATGTTCATGTACTATAATAATAAATGTTTTATTACGGTCATTGACCAGCAAAAGTAAGCAACATTACTTTAATTAGGAAACATAAAATCAATCTAAAAGCACAAAAAATCTCTCTATATACAGTATAACACTGCATTCATACATCTTATTAGATATGTATCTGCTGCCTCCCTATCATACGCCTTGTCTATGAGCTATTGTAGCTTGCATAGAACAACATAATTGTTACTTAGAAGCTCATAGAGCCTGTATGATCATTAAGGCCTCTATGTGTATACACCAATTTACAGATACTATGGCTGTCCTTTGGGTGGCACCTTTCCTTCATGGATTTTGATTGCAGCAGGACAGAATTTAGCTACTTTTGTCAACATATCTGAATTTTGGTTTAGCGAAGTATATCTGCCAGAGCATTGCCCTGTCAGCAAAAGCAATGTGCAATGGGCCTCTGATCATCCAGGAAATGCCCTTATGTAAGGGTTAACGAGGACTTCTCAAATGCCAGAATAAAAAGCACAATGAAGTAACACATGGGAGATGGATTCGATCTCACCAGAGTTACAGGGGCATATACGCTAAGTGTAAGGGATGCTGTTATACTTCCCTTCTTGGATTGCTGATGGAAGTGTACTTCATGTACTATATATGGTAACTTTCTAAAATCTAAGTTAAATGTTACACACAAACAAAATTTCAAATCTTGCAAGAGGAGACGCCGCTTGGGGAAGCATTGTGGAAACTTCCCACTCCTATTCCCACAGCTTGGAAATGCTACTTTTTTGGATTATAATTTCTAGAATCATCTAGACAGCATGGAGATCTTGAGAGTTATAGTCCAATGAAGCAACATTTCCAAATTCTGACAGTCCTCTCTGCAGCTTCTTTGTTATCAGGTGTGACTTGCTCAAGTGGTTTTTAAAACAGAAGAGGCATCAGTCCTGTTTATTTTTTTGAACTTCCACTCAACTTCCACTCTCTTTCAAATTACCTGCAATTAACTCACATTTTCTACATGGTGAGTAACTTTCAATAACTGTCTCAAGTTTTCCATGTTTTAATCAGCTAGAAGCATAAGACGCAACCCTAACTACCCAGGTGGCTGAGAGCCAGCAAAGCTAACACTAGGTTGCTGCTGAATTCAAACCCCTCCCCACTGAGGGATATTAGAAAGGACTTAGGACTACCTGCACGTTGGCCTACCTTGTGCGGCATAATGGCCATGTCTCTGCTCTGGAGGAGGCTTAGATCTTGTGTAACTCATTTCCTCAATCACTCTGTCCCTGTCCCACTCCTTTTTTGCCTCTTCTTATAGGCTGAAGCCTGCCAGTTAGCACATCTTTGAATTATGACTGCACTTCTGGCTGTCAAGCAAGATTGCTGAAAAGATGTTCAGCTTCTTAAAAGAGCTGAAGAACTGCCTGAAGTTTATCACGTTGGAGCACTCTATTTCCAACAACAAGAAGTCCCTGGGAAGCCCATGAGCAGAATGTGATGGGCACATTCATCCTCTCTCTCTGGCATCAGCTACAGTGGCTTCATGTAGCTGTCACAACCATCTGTTGTCTTTCATAGAACCATCCTTCAGGATCCTTAGGTTTATGGGACCAGCAAATTGCTAAACACTGTGATGAAGTTGAATGGACTTACTCCTTTAATGTATACCACTCGGCCCGGGGGACCTGGAGGTCCGGGTGGCCCAGGCAAACCAGGGAAGCCCTAGAAAGAAAGAAAAATGCAGGAGGCACCTGGAATTATTCTTATATTGTGGCACATGTGGTCAAATGAAGCAGAATGGAGAAAGGGACTGAATCATTGCCTCTCATTGAATAAAACTAAAACCCACTTTTTGAAAAAAAAAAGCATATGAAACATCATTAAAGATAAACAGAAAAGAGTTGTGAGAAACTGCCAATATCAGGGGACAGGGCTTCTAGAGGGTTTGCATACCACATCTGCTGGAAGATGCAGGTTTTCATGTTAAAAGGAGAAACATCTGTATCACCAGGAATATATTTGGAATGTAAACAAGAACTTCCTTTGAGTGTCTAATTATAGAGTCATCCATAACAATGGAGAAACTATTATAAGCCCTGGAAAGATGTATATGTTCGAATGTATATTTCTCAGCCTGAATGTAGCCCACCAGCCACGTATGGAGCATACTAAGTGCTTGCCAATTCAGCACGATGGCAATTTTAATAGGAAAGTGCAAGGGAAACTCTGCCTCAGGGAATGCAGGCTTGGTGCCAGTATGGAGTATAGAATCATGCTACTGAACAGCAATAAAATGTATAATAAAACGTAATCCAATGTCAGGTTTATTCTGAGACCTGAGGCACACCAGTGGATTCTCAAACAGCTATAAGGCTGAAAACAAAACCTTTGCAGCTGAAGGCTACCACTGAGATAGGCTGAAATGAAAAGCACAATGATCAAATGGCCAGTTTGAAGGCATTTCTCTATGTCAGCCAGTCATATATCTATGAATTCTTCCTGTCACAGAAAAACACATCACTTAATTAAAATACCTTTTAAATGCTAATTTTAAAAGTAACTATAAAATACTATGCATTACATGAATCAATTACAGCGGTGCCCTGCTTAATGACAATAATGTGTTCCAGCAAAATCGCTGTTAAGCGAAATCGTCGTCAAGTGGGGAAAAAAAATCCCCATTGGAATGCATTGAAAACTGGTCAATGCGTTCCAATGGGGGAAACACCTCATCGTCCAACGAAGATTGCCCATAGAGAACCGCTGATCAGCTGTTCTAAATTGCTGTAATGCAAAGCTTCCATCCAGAAAGCAGCCATTTTGAAAAAGGAGGGAAGCCATTTTGCAGAGGGAAGCCATTTTGTGGAGCCAGAAAAAACATCATTTTGCGAACAAACGGTTCGCGAAGCAGGCTCCTAATCGACGTAAAGCAAAAAAAAAAAAAAAATTGGAACAATCGTTTTGCGATCGCAATAACGATCGCAAAAATGTCATCGTCAACCGATTTCAACGTCATGCGGGGTAAGCGTCTAGCGGGGCACCACTGTAATTACATAAACTATTCCCCTTATTTACGTTATGTCTGAAAAGCAACTCTGTTATCCTCCAGTCTCTAATTTTTAACAACTTGTTACAGAAAACCATGTCATAATGCATCACTACCAAGCTCTGATTCTGGCCACTGCTGCATCTGCTTACCCATTTACTAGAAACTCTTCATGTCTATGAAACTTACATATAGTGTTACACCTCGTTCACCTTTTACGCCTTTCAGTCCATTCAGGCCAGGGCGTCCCTGGAGAAAGAAACACACACACAAATAGTGTAACTCACATATATACAATAGATATACATATAACAGTAAAAATTTACATTCCCCTGCTTGACATGAAAATATATACATACAGGCCGGCCAGGAAAACCAAGTTCTCCTTTAGGTCCTGGACGTCCAGGTGGCCCCTAAAGAAAAACAGGAATATGAGTGGAGAGAAAGAAAAGCGGGAGAAAAGCGACATATGTACAAGACATATAATGATGCGTTGTCAGGTCAATTCTGATTTATGGTGACTCTTTTCGGGATTTTTTTAGATAGAAAGTATCCAGAAGTGATTGACCAGCCCTTTCTTCTGGGGGCACTCTGAGACTGTGCACCTTGCCCAGTCTTCTGGGGTGCACGCTGGGGAACTGAACCCTCAGTCTCTGGCTCTGCAGCTGGATACCTTACTGAGCTATCCAGCCAGCTCACATACAATATACATAATTTTAATTTAATTTTAAGGATGCTTGCAGGTAAGGCTTTCATTCACGTTCCCTGCTTCATTCATGGAACTTTCTGGGCGGGTGCGTATGAGATGACATTGTTGGCTCCCATATGTAATCTTCCCATGATTTCCTATTGCTTCTTCCATCTTGTTTTCCTATTGTAAAAAATCCATTGGAGAAGAAAAGACACCATAGTTGTATAGTATCCTTTGACAGGTGGTGCTAGGAGGAAATGTGTCTGGAAACACTCTTAAGCTGTTAGAAAATCATGCTACATTACATGTTTTATTCCATTTAGGAACTCTTAGGCCCTCTAGTCTATACCTATTTTGGAGTAAAGTTCACCGAAATCTGTTATGCTGTTATTACACTACTCAGATGTACTTTAGTAGCTTAATCAATTAAATGTGCAGAAATCTGAATAAGTAAAAAATTCATTCTTCTGAAGGAAAACAACATAGATCAGGGTATTCAGAAGTAAGTCCCTCAGATTTCAAAAGGGCGCACTTTTAAGAAAATATACAGAATTGCCAACTGCCGTCTTGCAACCTACTCAGAAACACCCATTGTAACCCTTGTCCTTGATGGTGGTAGCTAATCATCATTTGAATTTGCTGAAATGTTGCTGCAAAGTAAAAGTGAAGCAAAGATCAGCAATAGTTCCTGCATACAAAGAAATTCTGAATCTCTGTAATGTTTTGGGCTACATCCCTATGGTAACATAATTGTGGACTCTATCCTTGTCCATGTGATATTGAGGTAAGAGATTCTTACCTGGATTACCTCTAACCATGTACTTTCAGTTACTGTATAAATGGGGCTGAAGTTTTTAATCTACTGGAAATCCTTGGCTTTGAAATGAATAAGTCACATTTTTAAAAAAGCATATTCATCGTTGCTGACTGTATCAGGATGAGCCTCTGTAGTTAAGAGCATGGTTTGCTAGACATTCTGGAATTGCTTTAGGGGAGATGTTTTGATGCTGTTGTTGTTCACCTCAGAACTGATTATTGCTTTGCATTTGATCCCAATATTTTTTGTGTACCTCTGTATATTTATATATTCCGATGTTTTATTTGTGTCTGGTCTTTTGATGATAATAAAGTTTTTAAAAAAAGAGATGGCAGGGAGAAGAAAACTTTAAATGTAGTATAGAAAAAGGAGTTGCCTGCATGGCACAGAAGTGGACTAGACAAAGTAGTCCTTCAGAAGTACAGTATAGGTTGATTGAAAATGAATACCCTTGGAAAGCTACAGGCCATGTTAGGCTGTTGTCTGAAAGCATAAGGCAGCTTCACTGGCTCACAGGAAAAATATGTGTCTAGTATCTACAGTTCTCATAAATATTGGCAAGTCATTTTCAACACTGAAGGAAATGAAGTCACAGGTCACAGATTCAGGAAACGTGGCATGATGAACCACACTTTCAGAGCTATACCTCCAGGTGTTGCCCAGGACACACCTCAGAGAAGGTATCTGAGGAAGAAAAATCTCCTTTTGTAAAGTCATAAGTGAAAAGCAGCCTTTGCTTCTTGCTGCCTTCCGATGCACATTTGCTTGGGTCCCCTTGTTTCTCTTTTTGTGGCATGGTGAGGGCTGTGGAGGAGGTTACCATGCGCTCAGGATCCTTGTAAGCTTGGCTGAAGGGTGATTGGCCAGGAAAGATTCAAATCCAGATGATCAGGAAAGGAACTGGCTGTTGGAAACCTAAGACAATCAGAGGATGGCTGGGTGGTGCAGAGGGCTGCTTGGTAGGCCAGAGAGAGGTGGTTTTCAATCTGGTCTGTCAGAGAGGTTCATAAAGGGCTCCTTGGCTTCTCTCCATTCAGTCTTCCTTTGGAATTTACCTGCTCACTCACCCTTTTGTATGAGTTGCATGTTGTTTAACTGAAGAAAGGTTAATAAGGTGCATACGCTGGCAGACGGATCATCCAATGCAGGGATCTGCTCCTCATGCCACACCAAGACTGTTCTGCTGTAACCAATTAAAGCTGTTGCCTTTTCATTTATCCATATTTTATCTTCAATACATTTTTAAATGATGACAATGGTGTGTTTTAATGATCAGGGTAAGGAGGCTAGGGACTCTCTTGCCTGAGTCCACAAACTCATTTTGTGGAGTCTCTCATGATGCAGTAGGTGGTGTGGATTTGATCATGGGAAGAAATTTTAGACACAGGGTCGAGCGGGGTGGGTGGATAAGGGAGCCTCGGCAGCACTGTTTCTAATTTGCAGATTAAAAGTAAAAGACCAGAGGAAAACAACTGTCACACGTGTGAAAACAAATTGCTAAAGGATTTTGTTTTTAATACAAGCTTTGTTTTCCATCAGCATTGCTCCTTCCAGCTATCTTTGCCATATAATGAACAGTATTTTTATAATATTTCTATAAGAAAATAAGAAAGAGCATGAACTGACAACAAAATTAAGAAACTCACCATTGGCCCAGGTGGTCCCGTTAGTCCAGGTTCACCCTGTGAGAAAATGTGTTACATTAGTGACCTAAGAGAGCTTTATAACATGTATGTGCCACATTAGGCATGTCTCCGGGGTGATTTTAAAGTGTTTATGTACGTGTGTGTGTGTGTTTTGTGGGTGGTGGTGGTGGTAAATAAATAATCCAATAATGTTACCTTCTGTCCCGGACTTCTTATCACTTCTGTTAATGCCTCAGTTGAAGCAAAAATAGCCCCTGGTTCACCTTTTTCACCCTAGAAAGAGAAAAAAGTGTTAATATAAGAGAAACGGCACCTACTATCTAGCTTAGTGGTTCTTAACCTTGGGTTACTCAGGTGTTTTTGAACTGCAACTCCCAGAAGCCTTCACCACCAGCTGTGCTGGCTGGGGTTTCTGGGAACTGCAGTTCAAAAAGACCTGAGTAACCCAAGGTTAAGAACCACTGATCTAGCTGACAAAATCAGCTGCTTTACACATTGAAGCTGAGGCTAAGCATGAATCTGTTCTGAGATAGTACCTTCAGAAACAGAAGGGCAGGAATGGATAGATCTGCTGTCCTTCAAGTTCTCCTGTTGGTTTAGCCTCCCTGACTTCAATCCAAAAAGTTACTAAAGGGCAGAAATCTGATTTTCATTTCATGTCTTTCTCTACACCTCATGTCTCTTTACCTTCTTGAGCCACATCTCAGTCTCCTACCTTTTTTTTTTTTGCTTGTTTTTATTTTGCTTCTTAAATGAAATTTAAGGTTCTCTTTCAAACTGGAATAAGAAAAAAAACCCTTAAATGTCAACATGGACGAACAGAAATTTGAATTTTGGCTGTTTTGGCTTGGGTGGAAGAGGAAACACACCAGTTCAGAAGAAGGCTATTTGGAGATTTTCCTCAACATCAGCAAGGGTATATTATCAGTGTCACTCTTGTAGTGATGTATACTCCTGCTTTGACAGAAGCCCGAGGGATGGGCAAAGTAGTTAATGGTTCTTTTACAGACAGGAACAATCTGGCCTATTAAAAAGCGCCAGTTTCATTCCTTGCTAGTCAGTAGTAGCTGAAGCTGCATTCTGTTGTCACTGTTTGAACAGTACTGGTGCTCTTCGTGTTGAACAGTTTGGAGACACCTCATAATTGAAGCTCTGACAAGTGGCTTTTAGTGCTGTTTCCAAGCAGATGTTGCCTTGTGTTTACTAGACTCTTGCTGGGAATGTATGCTTAGATGCCCTGTAATGTCATATTGAAGGGTTCTCTGAAGTGAGGCATCCCTACCCTGACTTTGATAACAAGAAAGAACTGAAACATTATCGTCAAAGGTGACTAAAGTTCAGATTTCTAGTGCTCTCACAGTAGAGATGTGTGTAGAAATTTATGGGTAATTTAAATGTAATGCTTAAAAACAGGTCTGCGCAGAGCTTTCAGTAGCCAAGGAAGGTTAACAGTTCTAACAATAGACTAGGTTCCTATCTCTTCCCCTCTAAATATCATTTTCAGTGTGATGTGAGCAGTAGATTTGTTTCCTCAGCTTCAGACTGAAGTGAAAGATGGTCAAAAATCTGCACAGTATCAAAGTCAAAACAAAAGAAAGTGTTCATTTTGGAACTTTAGACAAATGCCACGGAAGTGTTCAAGTTTTCAAGTAATCCAGAACATGTTAGCCTTATTCAGGTATTACAGGTTTATCTAACACTTGAGGAGGAAAGTATGCCGGCCCCTTCATCATTGCTCTCCTTATGCAAAAAGTAATAATGCTGAACCAGTGAAATTATTATATGCTTGGAGGCTCTTTATGGAAGCAAAAATGCTAGAAAATCAGGGTTCATGCTTACACAGAAAGTCTCCATACAAAAAGCAACTTCTCCTCTTCAGATTTGTCTCTCTTCATGTAAGGAACATGAATGCTCTCCTCTTTGTGTGTTTAATAAACATCCTAAGTAATTCTTGAATATTGCTCCTGTGAGATTATCTGGTATCAAACCACCACCACCCATTACACTTTTTTGGCAATTAACTGGTTGCTGCCCAACTGTGGATTTTGCCTTCCTTCTTCATAGATCACCGTAGCTGTCTTTAATCTAAATTCCAAAACAGAGCATAATTCTACATTATTTGATGTATCCAACAGATATGCAAAACCTCAAAATTGAGTAAAATAGGAGAAACAAGTGGAAAGGAGTGGTAGTAGGATTCCCCAACCAATGAAAATCCAAAGCAATCCTAGGAAGTAGCCAAATTAATTCAACTTGGGATTTATCCCAGTGCAAAGCAGTATAGTGGTCTGTGAGTATAATATGCATGGATACCAGATGAAACTACAACACAAATGTGAATTTTACTTATGTATATACACATGCTTTGAGTCTCAGTATTGCATTTGATTATATTTATAACCTACAAATGGGGGAGGGGATTTTCAAAACCTGGAATTGATAGCATTAGTGTACAACAGAATAAGTGTCACAGACAAAAGTTTATACAGAATGACAGAACATGTAAGTTTAAGAAGTGAATGAAAAAGTTTTTGAAAGTACTTAAGAATGTACTGAATGTTTTTGTTATCACCACCCTTATCACAACATTGACAGTTTCAAAAAAAAACTTTTCAGGAAAAAGATCCCCATGTTCTATAAATATGGGCTCTATGTCAAATACTTTTGACATGCTGCATTACATGTCCTGATAGCTTAAGTGAACAAGCATAGCTTCATGTGTGCCTCTTCATACATATTAAAATGAATAAACATGGGATTCAATGGATGTCACCTCACCATAAGCACACATGTATTAATCTGCTGTAGGACCTAGAGGTGAATGAACCTGTCAATTCTGTTTGCTCTCCCATCTGAATTTTTAATTTTTTCCCTAGATTCTGATCAAAAATAGCTAAAACAAAATCCATGCTGAGACTGACAAACCCAGCAGTTCTGCTTTCTCCCATATTTGGATTTTGTAAATGTATTATTAACTTGGACCAAAAGTGAAGTACAATTGAATTATCAACGATCCATAATACAGTCCACTGCAGAATCCATGATCTTTTTTCTTTCCTATGCCAATGTAACTGCTAGTTAAAGGAACCAACTGCGGTCAGTTCAAATAGGGACACTTGCACAGAATCCTCCTGACTGGGAACAATCTGTTGACAGCAGAAATCTGGCCCTGTGTGACTGCCTGATGTAGGACTTCCTGATCTTTAGTATCCATTGGATCCAGATCATACCACTAGGTGGGTGGTGGGGCTAACCATTTGGCTATCCTTCTGTCCTCTCCTACTACTGGTCTTCTGTATGCCAACAACCTGTCCTTCTCAGCCTGCCTGCAGTTTTTCTGTCTAATTACCCTGCCAACCCTGCTTGTGATATTTACAGAGTTTGGGATCTAATCCCCTGAGAAAAAGAGTGTCCTCATGGATTTATTTGCAGCAGAGAGAAAGAAGTTATTCAAGTCATGAACAATCCATATCCATGTAAGAGTGGTTCTATTTCAATTCCAGAACATATAACTAGACCTTCCACAAGTTGCAAGAATAAATTTACATCGGCCTTGCAACTGAGGAGCTTTAGAAAGTATCAATAACGTTATCTTTCTTTACCTCCATTAGTCAGAAAAGAAGTTCTTAATAGAAGAACAATTTGCAAAAGGAGGTTTCATTTCCAAAACATTTTTTAAAAAAATGCAACAGTCCATGCAAACAGATCAGCAACATTTCTACCATCTTCTTTTGCCACAAATGTGTGAGCTCACCTTTCTATATAAAAGAGGAACTTGCCTCTAACAATCCCACCAGTTGGTAGTAATTCTCTCACATTCTAAACATCCCCATTGTTGGCCTACTACTCGCCTTCTTCTTACCTGCTTTCCTTTCTCTCCCTGTAATCCAGGTGGCCCTGAGTCTCCCTTTGGTCCCCTGGGGCCCTAGAAGAAAAACAACAGACTTTTTGTACACAGGAATGTTACAATTAAGAAGTTTATGCAGGTTGTTAAGTAACTGCTGGATAGCTCAGTGATTTAGGTCTCTGGCTGTGGAGCTCAAGGTTGATAGTTTGATTCCCCACTGGGCCTCCTTGACAGGGGCTGGACTTGATGATCCAGAGGGTCCCTTCCAGCTCTGCTTTTCTAAGATTCTGAGATTATAATTAAAATGTTGGACCAAATCAGAGACATCAACAGGAGCCCTATGTTCAGAACTGAGCAGGCTGCTAAATTAACAGTACTGATGAGAATATTTTAAAAAGAGCACGGGCAATTGGCAGCTTAATTCAGGTCCCATGCCACACTTTCCCCAAATATTATTTCAGAACTTTTGCAGGCTGTGGTTCAATCAGATCATGACTAGCAATTCCTACTCCATTGTAGTAATATTTGAGGGGGAAAGAGCAATCTAATGAATTTAATATAGGAGCATTGCTAACCCCAAGTTATGTGATTCAAATGTTACTAGAGCTGTGAGGGAAAAGTCAGATCACAATAGCTCCCATACAGCATATAGATTGGCACACTGCAAGATCATACAAGAGAAAAACAGTAAACGCTGCTTTACTTGATCAGGCCTAACCCTCATATGTGCAGCAATGGCACGTACAGGAGAGTAGGACTGTGTTTCAAACTAGGATCCTGAATCCTAGAACCACTCATGGGCCAAGTTCCCTGCTGACGTCACCTTGACAAGAGCGTCAAGTAGGTGATGCAAGCACTGAGGTACATGTTTTGGCTTCTCCTCACAAGCAGAAACTCTAGTCAATCAGGATTCCAACAGGCATGGAGAAGTAATAGAAATGATCGGTCTCCACAGAATCTGTACCTTGGTGGTCCTCCATTCCATGCCTGAATTCTGAGCATTATGGCCAACCAGTGGCGCAGTGCTGGGCTATATGAATACTCAGCTGTATGGGCCCCACCCATTCTTTAATTATTTCTGTAAATATGGAGGAAAAGATCCAAAAGGAACTTGAAGCCAGAACTTGTACAGTCAGCCAGATACCTCTGAGAACATTACAAGTAGGGAATGATGTCAATAACCACTGACCCAATTTCATCTCTCTTTCATTTTGCAGTAAATCTTCTGAACAAGTGCAGTTATAATCACTTAAAGTGAGATAAAAGTCATCCAATTTAAACTGAAGGAAACCACATAAGGGGAATAGGACAGCAAAATGTGGACAGACGAGAACTACAATATAGTTTATTCCCAAAGCCACCACAGACAACCTGAACACCCTTCAGTTTTCCCTGTCATTTTACTCAGATACATATTATTTTCTCACTTAATATTGTGAGAAAATAATGTCCCTTTAGAGTCTGGTTGGGCACTATATAAATTCTGCACCATACCCAAAGCAAAAATATTCATGGGACCATTCACATGTTTAGTATTTTAGAAACATAGAACACAGTGCTTACAGGAAATCCTGGCAGGCCGGGCTTACCGTCTGGACCCTGTAAACAAAGGACAGGCAAATATTTCACTCTGGTTAAATGGAGCATGCAGTCTCTGGGCATCTGCTATTTGTGAATGTTATTTCATTTTGAATTCCACTGGCACATTAGAGAGCTTTCTTAATGTGGAATTAGTTGTCAACTGTCTGATCAGCAGAATCCAAGGCTTAATTTGGAACAGGATTAACCAACAGCAAGATGCAGTTCTGTCAGCACAAAGTAGCCTCCATATCATGGGAAATGACTTCCAGATAGGATCCCTATGATTGCAGAGCAGCAGGGTGTGAATTTCTTTTATGGCCTCATCTGACCATGCTGTTGTAATATTTAAAGATACAGGCAGGACCAATCACAGGTGCCTTTGCCACACAGTCAGTACGGCTATACGTAGCTGAACAGTGACTGCGTGGTGACGACCTGCAGCCATGTCGTTGTGAGCCTTTAAGCATTTTGGCTGAACAGTGACTGCGTGGTGACGACCTGTCGTTGTGAGCCTTTAAGCATTTTAGCAACACCAAACTTCATGACAAGTTGACCCCATGCCACTCCAGCTGCCAGTTTCTCTCTCTCTCTCTCTCTGTTCTTCAGTTAATTTCTGTGTACAGTACTACAAAACTTCACATATGGTCACAGAATGTATCCTTGGTGCCGTTTTCTTCTTCCTCCATTCTTTCCTTGTGTCTGTTTTTGGGGGCAACTATATGTTACCGAGGGGGTGTGGTGGCACTGCGGGCTAAACCGCAGCAGCCTCTGTGCTGCAGGGTCAGAAGACCAGCAGTCATAAGATCGAATCCACGCGACGGAGTGAGCTCCCGTCGCTTGTCCCAGCTCCCACCAACCTAGCAGTCTGAAAGCATGTAAATACGAATAGATAAATAGCTACCATCTCGGTGGGAAGGTAAAACGGCGTTCCCTAGTCATGCTGACCACGTGACAACAGAAACTGTCTTCGGACAAGCGCTGGCTCTACAGCTTGAAAAACAGGATGAGCCCCGCCCCCTAGAGTCGGACATGACTGGACTAAAAATGTTAAGGGGTACTTTTACCTTTACCTATATGTTACCGAAAGTCCTCTTATTAGATGAGGGAATTCCTTAAGACCCAATTGTACCTGTGATGGCAACAGCAGGAGCTCTTCTCACCATCCACAAATTTCAAACTAGCCTGCTCTGTTTTGTGTCTTTTCTTCAAGAAATAATCATATTCTTCATTTGTATGTGTTCTCAGACGATTATCTGTCATGCTCAGTCTTGAACATTAACACAATCTGGACTCTAGGGATGGGTTATTTAGTTCTGACTGCTCTGTCAATGTGTGGCAATGTATGCCTCAATTACTGAAATCTTGTTCCTTAGTAAGTTGCAGCTAGAGTAGGCCCATTGAATTGGTCAGGATTTCATGAGTCTCTATAAGTCCCAAAATCTCCATAATTCCCATTGATTCAGTGGGTCTACTCTAGTTGCACCTTACTATGCTAAGCAACAGTATTTCAGCTATTATATAATGCAAACTTCCAAGGAACTTAGAAGCAAGACATTAAATAAGTGCAAAACAAGTGGAACATTCTCAGAGAATGAATAAAACAATTCAACAGTGGCAGAATGTGGGAGGAGGGGCAACATCAGAGAATGGTACAGACACAAAGCTATTGAAAAACACTTTACTGGAGAGACAGAAAAACAATGAAGCCATAATATGTAAGAAATGTCAGAAATATGGGGTTCATCTTGACACATCTAAGGAGAAAATCTTGAGGAAAAGAAGGGAGGAGGAATCTGATGGCTTAGTGAAATTATACAAATAAATATGTAGTAATAACTCTGCTATTTCTTTGTAACAATTGCTCTTAATAGCTGTTAATTACTTGAACATCTTACTGGTCCAAAGAGACAGAGTTTTCTCTTTTTGTACGGTGCCCATGTTCAAATACCATGATAAGTTGGCAATCTGTAGGAACAAGATTATGGCTCTAGACTGGAGCGGCAAAGTTTGCTCTATTGTGCAGTGTCTATGTTCAGGTGTCATAATAACCAAACCAGAACTTCTGTTGCTTCCATTTGTAACAAGAGAAATCAGGCAGCATATGCCAGCACACTGTCCCATTCCTTTTAACTGGGTTAGAATTCATAGTATTCCTGGTGCTGCAGAGTATCTACTTATGAACAATACACATCTGATGGTGGCAAAGGACCTCTATGCCTAGGAAATATTGACCAATATCCTGTTGCTTAGTGTAGTAAATTTCAGCATAGTGGGCCCAATGAATCAATGGGGATTTGGTGACTCAACTCTATAAATTCCACTGATTCGGATGGGCTTACTCTATTGCAATTTACTACACTAAGCAACATGATTTTGGCATGTTAAGTATGAATGCATAGAAATACAGAACATCCATTTCCCATGCAATCAAAGAACTGGGACAGTGTGCCCCAGCTCCCTGCCTACTCTGTGGGGATGGGGGGAAATGCTGCTATTGGAAGTGAAGAAATGTGCAACCATTCTTGCCCAAGTGACAACATGGCAACAGAGGTACAGACCGTTAATTAGGGATCCCCGGTATGTTCCCTCTTTCTCTTCTCTGTTCCATTGCTTCCTCACCTATAAGCGAATTCTTTCAGTCTTGACTTCACTTCCTTTGCTTTATTCTTTTAGTTATGCATGGAGTGAAAGATAACATCCTTCTTCTCTTCCACATAATGCCATTTCTCTAGTAAAACATTCTCTTACACAAAGCCAGGTTTTTGTTAATTGTTCTGAATACCTGCTGCCATATAGGCTGTGAGCTATGCAAATTAATGGCAGGTCAGCAGTATCCCATTCTCTCAGATATCAGGGCTAAAACCAGAGTCCAGGGAATGGGCCTCTGTGATGTCACAGAGGCAGGGGAGGGTTGGGAGAGGATTCTATGCTACTGCTACCAGAGCTTGTACAGCCATCAGAAATCACAATGCTGGTGCTTGACTCACCTCAAGATATGATAGGCCCAAATGCATGCACCCAGTCCCTTCCTCTTGTTCTTATGTTTGGGGCATATAAAAGTTGGGTCCATCGTGCCCAAGGATAGGCCCTTCTTGTTAAACTGGGTGAGGCAATTGTCTCAGACAGTGGAATACTGAAGACAGCAAATTTACCCTAACAACTCTGGAAGGAGCCAGGTAGATGTGGATGTGAGAAGGGAGCAACGCTGCTTGCCAACAAGCCCAGAGGGGAGAAGCAGGAGAAGGAGAATGTCCGTAACTGCCATCAATGCCACTTCTCTTTCTCTCAGAGTAACCCGCCTCTTCCTGTCCCAATCCTCTGCTTTTGCCAGAGATGGTGCAGCAGCACAGCCTTCTTCTCATACCTGTGTCTTGACACTGTCATCATCCCCTCCCACAAGGAAAGAAGGGTCACAGGAGGGTGGGTTACTTTTACACAAGTGCCAGTGATGCAAAGATGGGCATCACTCAAATAAGTCACCACTTCTGCCACCAGAAAGAAGTGGTGGCAGGCTGATTAGGCCTTATGGTAGGGTACAGGAAAATGTCTCCCCATCCTGTGGGGTAATTGTGGGGCTGGCACATAGTTTCCCATCTTAGGAATCAGGGAAGTGTCAGCGATCCTTGACTGAGCCATCTGAAGCCATGTACATAAACACTTTCAAGCTGAATCGATAATCCCTCATGCTAGGGATGGAGGGGGATGCCTTAGCTTTACAGCTAGCTCACAGATAAAAATCATTTGTTATTCTCCTCCAGCAAAGCTCTTGATGAGATTTTTCTCCTCTCTGGGAGTCCTGGAGTAGAACATCAGTTCTCTGAAACTTCTGGTGTTACTCTGGGACCTGGCAACCCCATTTGTGAGTCACCTAAACAAAACGTTTATTTTATTTTATTTCATACATAAGAACATACTCACTGGAGGCCCAACAAGCCCTTTGATTCCAGTAACATTAAAACTTACATCTGAAGCATTGAGGAAGGCCTGAAAAGGAAGGATAAGTGATGGATAAAATGTCAAGTATTACTTTTTCTTAAGAATCCCACATACCTCTAAAAATGTCCTAGTATTGTATTTACAAAGTTAAAAAATCAAACTGTGTTTTATATCCCTTTCTTCAAAGCATTATTGACTTTGGACTCACAAAGAATATTGTACATAACCTTCCCCAGAAAACATCATGCTGGCAAGACGTATATGGCACCGGTGAACAATAAGAAAAGAAAAAAGTAAAGAAAACCTTGGTGATAAGGACTTCAAACAGTAAACTGGGGAGTCATAGCTTTACCTACTGCAGGGCCATCTTTGAACAAAGGTCTAATGTTATGGTACACAGACAGGGCACTAAGATTAATTATTTTCATTTTCTGCATTTCTCTGTAGCACAAATGACATGTGGAAGGAAAACGTGAGACAGACTTAGGTGGCTACTTCTCAAGAAATTAATTTGGTGGCCCTTTCAGACCTGTTTTTTCTGTTCATGTCGGTAAAAAATTCCAGGTGGATATGAGATCACCAACTGTTTTGTGATATGGCTGCAGTAAAGTAACAATGCTCAAAATATGTGTTTGAACTTTTGTGAACTGAGAAGGCGAGGTGCCTGCAAAATAAGGCATTTTTATTGTGCATCCACCTACTCTCCTTTGCGGAATTTGACTAGGGGTCTGTGCAGCAACATCTTTCATTTGTAGCCCTGCACAACTTCTCACTATTTCTCCTGTTTTCTCTTGGTAACACAGAACACACATTAAAGGGGGAAAGATGGAATGGCCACACAAGGTACTCTGATTGGTAGCACTAGTTGCCTGATGTATCAAAACAGCTAGTGAGATTGGGAGAGATTTATATCTTACTTTGAGACATTTACATTCTGCCCTGCATCCTAAGACGTCATGGCAGAGTGCAACAATAAATGTAATACAAAACAATTCAATACTTTAAAACCATTTAAAATAATGTAAAACACTACAACTATGTACATATATTAAAACCAAAATTAATAAAAAAGCCTTCATAGCCTATTAAAATAATGATCCTTAATCCCCAAAGGCTGTGATGGATAGCCATATTTTAATTTAGTGATGAAATGAGGTTGGCATCTATGATAGTCAAACTTCTAGGATGAGAAATTTCCATAACTGAGGAATCGCCGTCAAGAAAGCTTTTCCCCCATGTCCCTACAGAGTGGGTTGTTCTCCACAGCAAGACATGGAGGAGGGTTCTCCTAGTATATCTTAGTAATCAGGCAAGTATATGTAGGGAGAGTTGTGCCTCTGTTATCATGGCCTAAGCCATTTAGAGCTTAGTTTAGAGGTCATCATCAACACCTTGAACTTAAGCTGGAAATGTACTGGCATCCAGCACAATTCTTTCAGAACGGATGTCATAACGTCTCTGAAAGGTCTTCCTTCTAACAATATTGCTTTGAGTGCAGCATCCATATCATCTTCAAGGGTAACCCTGTGTAAAATGCATTATAGTAATCCTAAATAGTAAGGCTAGTGTGATGGTTCCATCTAATAAAGAGCATAGAAAAATAAGTAATAAGAAAGCAAAGTTTAAGAGAGCAGTCTGAGTATCAATACTGGACTTTTTGGAAATCCCAGCCTTAGAACCAGATTTTCTCCAGAAATTCTGAGCCAGTGCTGAATGTTGTTAAGAACTGTCTTAGAGAGCTGTAATCTGGAAAACCTCTGGAGCAGAAGCAACCTGTGATCTGAGTTGGATTGGGCCATGCCTCATCCTGAAATGGCGGAGTTCAACCCCCTCCTGCTCAGCCAACTGCCATTGCTGTCTTGGTACCTTGGAGGAATAATAATTCAAACCTCTGGCCCAGCGTTCCCATTCTTGGAAAAGCCTGGAAAGTTACTTTTTAAAGAAACGAATATAATGACATGTTGACTTACTCTATAACTAAGCAGTTTTAGGATAAAGCTCTGACACCGGCGTAACTTTCCAAACTCTAGTAGAATTTGGGACAAGGAGCAAATACATCCTCTGCTCATCTCATATTTCTTGTGTACTTGTATTGTGAACACCACAGTCTGAGGTTATGGCTCCCTGCCTGACAAGCCCCTCCAGGCATCAGGGTTCTTCACTGAATTAATGACCCTCAAAAGCTTCTGTCTTTGAGAGAACTGCTCAGATCTTGCAAACTTAAGGCTGTGGCTTCCTTTTGGGTCATGATACAAATTGCACAACTGGAAAATAACAATGACCCCACTGTTACTCTGCTGTACCACATTTATAACCAGTTTTTTTCTAGATAAATGAAAAAAAGCTGGCTATGAAGGGTACAGCAGAGTAATAGTATTCTTAGCTACGCCCAAATAACACTTACCGCTGGAACGGCTATAACAGGACCCGGTGGTCCAGGTGGCCCTGGTGGTCCAACAATGCTAGCTCCATGCTCTCCTGGTTCACCCTATTTTAACAGAGGAATTATGCTGTTTTTTAAAATGGTTGTTTCTATATAACTGAAAGGCAAATGGATATTCAATATAAATGAATGAATGAATGAATGAATGAATGAATGAATGAATGAATGAATGAATGAATGAATGAATGAATGAATGAATCTACTTCTTACCTTAGCACCTGGATCCCCTTTTTCTCCCTTTGAGCCCTGAATTAAAAAGCCAGTGTTAATTGCATAAAAGAGACATGATAATAAAATGCACAGTAATATATGTGCATGTTGAAACATTCCATGTTCATGTTTCGGACCACAATTGATTGTGGACTGCAAGTGATTATGCTTCAGAAATTCCTACAACATGTGCTGATTCATTGCTTCTTCATGCTGAGTAACATAAGCAATGTCCTAGGCATGCATGGCCAAGGCAAAAATCTGTTTACTTTAGTAAACAGGAACGTGTGCCCATTTGTATCATATTGACAAAACTATTAAACCTGATATCTATGATTACATAAGATAATATGTGTTCATCACAAATAGTTCCAAGATTGTGAAATCCTTGACACCTGAAACCCAGTGCACAAACTAAGGATAACCTAGTACCATAGATTTTAGTATTATTTATTGGTGGGTTTGTTTTTTTAATGGGTTGATTAGATAATGTTAATTAATGTAAATGCATGCATGTTTGAAGCATACAATAACATCTTCAGTCACTAGATGAAGACATAGGTATACAATCTACTGTATAGTTTATAGCTGAAAGGGAGAGTAGTCTGAAGGACCAAGTTATAAGGTTTCTCTTCCCTGTCCTATGGAAAAGACTCCCCTCCATCAAGCCACTAAGTGGGCAGATTCCCCCTCATAGGCTTAGGGTCTGTCATAATAAGGGACCAGCCTAGAGATGCCAGTGACTGTGATTACACTCAGTGTAAGATGTGCACAATGCCTGCAGCTTTGATAGCTATGTAATGTTACTTAGCTCAGTAGTTTAGGTATCTGGCTGTGGTGCCACAAATTGGGAGTTCGATTCCCCCTTGTGCCTCCTTGACAGGGACTGGACTTTATCTTCCATAAGGTTTCTTCCAGTACTGCAATTCTAAGATGATGATGATGATGATGAAAGATTTGGGCATATCAAACTAAGGCATATTCCAACCCATGCAAAGTTGAATGCTTTCACAAGTGAAACATTCAAAGGAAACAACCATACCGCATGCTCATAAATACACTTCTGTTTTGAAATTTAATATTCAGTATATCCATCAGTGGCTTTTTGACTCATGTTGTCAAATGTTGTCCATCCTTTGCTGAAATGTCTTTGCCTACTTCCATCACATAAACCTAAAATTACAATCCTTTGTTCTTATGCTCCAATTTTCAATACGAGTATTATGTTTAAAAAAGAAAGCCGGTGCATACTCACTGCATCTCCAGGACGCCCAGCAACTCCAGGAAATCCTGGTCTTCCTTCTGCACCCATTTCTCCCTATTGAAATGAAGAAGCAAAAGCAAAATTATCAGATCTAGATTGATTTGAAAATGACCACACTCCCAAGATCTCATTTAGACACACTCAGAAGCTTTCATGCATCCACAGAATATCTAAAAATTCAACAGCAGTGCCCCCATGTTTTATAAAAGTGGAGGAACTAGTGGAGGAAGAGCCAACTCCCTGAACCCATCAGGATCAAACTCAGGTCTGGAGCAGGGGCTTGACTGAGTTGTTGCAGGGGATCTTAGTACATAGGGATTGGTGTGGGTGGGTGATGTGGGCATTCAGCCCCCAGTCACTTCTTGCACTCCTCATTGCCCAAGCATGGTTTGAGAACAGATTTTTGTTTCATTCATGAATGGATGGATGGAAGGGAAGGGAAGGAAGGAAGGAAAGGAGGCTTTTCACCCATTTATCAGGGATCATGTAGCCATTGTTTCACCAATGTAGCAATAGCGTATACCACCCAATACATGTAAGTGGAGTATAGCAGTGGTCCCCAACCTTGGGCCTCCAGATGTTCTTGGACTTCAGCTCCCAGAAATCCTGGCCAGTAGAGGTGGTAGTGAAGGCTTCTGGGAGCTGGAGTCCAAGAACATCTAGAGGCCTGAGGTTGGGACCACTGGAGTATAGGAAGTCACATTGAGGCAAAAAAGAGCTGTCATTTCAGAATTATTTGACTAAGTCCTAATGAAGTGTTTGTCTATGCCAAGAGTCTTCCCTAAGGACATCCTAAGCACCAAGTCAGCCCCAAAAAGTTATCCTGAAGGAGAGTAAAAAGACCTTTCGGTTTCCATAAGCACCAAGTCAGCCCCAAAAAGTTATCTTGAAGGAGTAAAAGGATCTTTCAGTTTCCATCTTATCCTAACTACATGCTATTATTTTTCTCCACATGTGGGTCACTTTGCTGCCCTAAGGTACCAAGAGGGTACCAGCTAGAACATCCTTAGGTAGCGTATTTTGCCCTGCTCTGTGGTTTATATTCCCATGTTTGCTTGCCTGTGTCCTGATTAGTGTTTCTGTCTGTTTTGGGATAATGGGAGTAATGAATGCTCACAAGGAAGGGTTGTGGATTATGTAGGGTTGGTGCTTAGGTAGGGGTGGAGGTATGGAGATACCTCCATAGTCCAGATCATGACAGCTTGAGGTCTGGGTCTGGACTGTGTGATGGAGGTCCCCAACCTCTCTGTTAAGATTCTAGCTTTAGCAAGGGTGGACTCAATGGCCCTTGGAGTCTCTTCCACCTGATTCAAAGGCAGATTTCATTCTCAAACTATCAAACATGCAAGTCTATGTTAGTCTATTTTAGCTTATGACAATAACTGTGAAGACATCTCTTTTCTTCCTGGTACATCTGGCAACTGATCGCCAATTTCATTTCCAGCTGTGGGTAGAAAATGAAAGGAAATGCATGGGTGCATCTGTTTTCAAATTATAAATGGTGGCTTCATACTTGCGGATATGAGTATATGAACTCTCAATAAAATGAGGAGCATTTTTTGATAAATGCGCAGTCACTCATTACATTCCAAACCAAGCAGGGGGCTAGACTTCTTAGGACTTAGTTATCACTTTATTACATTTTCTCTTGTAGCTTTGACTTTTGCTGTGTTTCTGTCATAAACATGTTCCAATGGCATCATGTGTATATACAGCTATGGGTTAAGGACACTCCATTATTTCTCAGATGGAGTCCTTTTGATAAGATATCCCTAAACCTACACATATACTTGATTCCAATTCTTTCTTTGTCCATGGGGACAGATTTAGGCAACGACCTCACCCACATCTTTATTTGTTCATGGTACATAAGCTGGAGAACAAATTGAAAGCTGTAGGTTAGCCTCTTTGCCTGCCAAAGACCTCAAGCCTTAGTAGTAGTACATCTCTCCCATTAACATCCAACAGCTCCAGTGCTTGCGGCTTCTGAGGAGCCACAATGAGGAGGTGACAACCTCCTATGCCTCAACTTGTACCCCTTAATGAAACATAAATTGATGGAAAATATTGCTTGCCTTTTGAGTATGTTATGTATTAAGATAAATCATTCAGTAATTTTAGTTGGACCAAAACCGCACAACTTGAAAGATATTGCATAAGTATAGACACAGTAAACAAGAGAAGCAAAAAAACCGAATTGTGCTACTAATATGCCAACCCATAATACTTAAGAGGGACGTATTGGCACTGCGGGCTAAACTGCAGAAGCCTCTGTGCTGCAAGGCCAGAAGACCAGCAGTCGTAAGATCGAATCCACACAATGGAGTGAGTTCCTGTCGCTTTGTCCCAGCTCCTCGCCAACCTAGCAATTCACAAGCATGTAAATGCGAGTAGATAAATAGGTACCACCTTGATGGGAAGGTAAAATGGCGTTCCCTAGTCACGCTGGCCACATGCCAACAGAAACTGTCTTCGGACAAATGCTGGCTCGATGGCTTGAAAAACAGGATGAGCACCGCCCCCTAGAGTCGGACACGACTGGACTAAATGTCAAGGGGAACCTTTACCTTTACTATAATACTTAAAGCACTCTCTGGGTGGTTCACCATTTTTAATTATGCAGGCTACACATTGCCCCCTGCCTCCAGTGAGCTGGGTTCTCAATTTACTGTCCTTGGAGGGATGGAAGGCTGAGTCAATCTCGAGCCGGCTACCTGAGCCTAGAATCAGACTCAAGTCATAAGCAGAGTCTTGACTACAGTACTGCACTGAAGAGATTAGTAAAGTTTCAAAGCAGCTTTCCTCAGCTAATATCAAATTGATATTAATTAATTATTATGTTGACAACACTCTAAGCAAAATGTGTTTATAAAATCTGGCTCAGACAGCTTGTCAGGGATTCAAAACACGGAGAGCAGAATGGAAAAAAAGTATGAGTCTACATCCTGTTGTTTGCTAAATTATAGTAAGCAGAAGCTGTTATATGACAGAATGTGTCATTAACAGAGTGTAATCAAGTGTGGCACAATTTTAAGATTAATTCTAACAGATCTTGTTAATCAGTGGGTAAATCCTAGAAATGCAAAAACCCAATTCGTTTTTATCGCTGGTGTGTGGGTGTGGGCGTGATACTCAGAGAGAGCTCAAAACACAGTAAATGTTTAAAGTCCAGTGTAAGAAAGCCACCTTGGAACTCTTTTCTGGGAGAAAAGTGGGGTGTAAGTAAAATGTATGAATACATAAATGATGAAAGAGGTAGTAGGAAGTAGATCTTGGTAAATTTGCTGTTGGACTAGTAGCCATATGAGCTGGGGAAGTGTGCGCACTGAGAAAGAAAGAACTTTTCCAAGGTATTCTAAGCAGAGAGTAATAAAGGATCAACATAATTCCTCTCTGTAGGTAGATGCACAGCAAATTCATGCTTGCTAGAAAGAAGTCTCCTTTTGAGGGTTCCTAAAATGAATAAATGTAATGAACTGCTCATTCTTCCCAATTTTTAGGGTGTAAAGACAGTTGGGTCTTGACTGACAGATAGGGAAAAGCATCCAGAACCTTTCCAAGCTGAATACTTACACTACATGTGAATAACAACTCTTAGTATATTTTCTAGGCATATCATTTTGCTTCCATGCTGTGCCCTGAAAAGAAGAACCGTTTTCTCAGTGTGCAGCACATAAACTGGGCACGCTATGCATCCCCTCCTTACTTCTCTACACACTGCCAGTATGTAGGCCCTGGATGACTGTCCTTAAGGAATGCTGAACTCTAAAAGGGGGGAAATCCCTCCTTCATCCTAGACATATTGTACATTTCAGCTAGCTGTTTAATTTTTATTAGAAAACAAATATTTGTGTTAATTTCAATGCTGGTCAACTTAGAAATCATATTTAATTAATGTCCTACCTTAAAGCCAGGTACACCCTGCACTCCTGTGTCTCCCTTTTCTCCCTGAAATATAAAAATATGAATCCTTTTCATATTGAGACTAAGGTAACGAAACTGTAAACAAGAAACTTCCTTTCACCAAACTATATACAACTAATTCATAATCTATCCCAATTTATTCTAAACACCATTGTGTGTTTCTATTTATTGAGAAGAGCTGAAACATATTGATTTCTGTGAATCTTTCTTCCTTTTAAAAGAATTTTAACATGGTTATAAATTAGAGGAAAATGTGAAAAGCTTGCAGTGCTTTAAGAGTAGATGGGAAACCGTCTATCTCATAAAATACTAATTTTGTCTTAAAAACAGGGATTATTGATTGATCTTCTCACATCTGGCACAAAAACAGACATAAAAACATTGTTATAAAACCATGCAACTTTAGGGTTTGTAGGCAGGACGTGTAGCAACTGCAGCAGGACTAGAACAGTGGGTTCCAGAATTTGTAATATTGACAATCTAGCCACAGGCCAACAGATGGACAGTTCTATTTGAATAGATTCGTTGTTTATTTATTTATTTAAAACATTTTAAACCCAAGGTAGCTTACATCATTTAAAGACAATATTTAAAGCTGAAAGCAATGAGTAGACAATGGTGGTTTATGTCATCAAAAGACAATATTTAAAGCTAAGAACATTGAGTATAAAGAGGCAGCTAATATCATTAAGAGATAATGTTAAATCTAAAACAATAAGTGTACAAATGTTAAAAAGAAACACACAAGCACAAGTCTGAGAGATGGTTAACACAAGCAATACTAAAAACCCAGTCACAACAGTAATGCATAACAATCCATCTAAAAGTCACACTCAGGTGTCCAGTCACTGAGGGAAAGCTTGCCTGAACAGAAAGATGTCTTCAGGTGCCAATTCAGCTGACGTGAATGGTGACAAGGCCCTTTTGAAAGTTTTGGCTTCAGTTGCTATTAGCAATGCCTAACTTTAGACTGGGGCCGCCATGAATGATGATTCACTACACAACACAACACAAATTATCTTTGTGTTGCTACAAACTAGGAAAATGTTTATTTCAAACAGAGCCCCCAAAATTAATCCAGTCCTAATCTCTTTCTCCGGGATGACAGAACAAAAGCTAGTCCATTTCCTTGATCTTCTCCACACAACATCACAGGAATAATAGTTGCAGACACTCTGGGGAAGGATAGATACATGCTATCACAAATATTCTCTTTTCCTAGAAAGAGTATGTGTCATTGTTAGAAGGGCCACCAATTTGCATGCTTAGAGTCCAGACATCAGAATCGTAAGTATAATGTGGATGCATAGAAACACACTGGGATCTCATCTTCAAATTCCTGCAAGTTATAACAGAAAGCAAATTGGACCAATGTAGATGGTGACAAGAAAGCCTGGAAGGTAAGGAAATTGAGCAGCTCAGACAAAAGCTGACAAGACAGAAGAGCTCTTCACAGGAAACGATAGGAATATACCAGGATTTTATTACACCAGTGACAGGACAACAATGCACAGCACCAAAATTCCTCCTAGCTTTGGTATCTAACATGAGCTTGTAATTTCAATCTCTCAACAATTTATGAGTTACCCCAGCATTGCTATATGCTTAATTACCATGTGTTGCAAGCATAAAGGGTCATGGTCATCTGGTTGTGAAACATAATTTTCTCTTTCCCTAACTTCTACTTCCGACTCTCATCTCTGACTCTCAGTCCCCTCTTACATCAGACTCTCCTCTATGACTTAAACTGACTGCACTCCTCTATGACTTAAACTGACTCCCCTCCCCCTCCTGATTTCTCTGGTTCCGCCTCCCAACAGCTCCCATTGGTGCAGGTGAATTTAAAAAGATCATCAAAAGGTCAATGAACCCAGTAATTATCGACCAATCACGTGCCTTCCAACAATGTTCACAGTCCTCACAGGAGTACTTGCAAGATCAATATATAATTACTTAATTGAAAACTCCCTATACCCAACTGAACAGAAAGGGAATATTAAAAAGTCAAGAGACACAAAAGATCAGCTGCTTATTGATAAAATGATACAATCATTTTATCCCCCCCCAAATTAAAAGGGAAAAAACCCATGAAAAATGAATCTTAAGATAGTCTGGGTGGACTATAAAACGTACTTGATTCATTGCCACACAGCTGGATTAATACCTGCCTACATTTTTTTGGGAAGTTCTTACCGGACTTTTTGTCAAAAAGGGAAAAAGATTAATTGATGGTATGTGGCTTCGAATTCTAGAGACTTGGATATCAATGAGGATACTCCTGAATTTGGACTAATGTAGATGATATGGATACTAACTTGCAAGTACCTACTATAAATAAGTGAAAGAATAATTAGTAAATTAATTGCAATGGTAAATTTTATAACAAACTATGAGAAGTTCTATACCATCTTTGTGTTGAAAAATTCGTTCAACTGATTTGCCCCTAACTGGAACAGCATACATACTGCACTAATATTTAACAGATACTTAGGTTTATTGTTAAAACTTGTATCTGTTATATAATACCAGTCAATGTTTTTATAATTTTGGTTGACTGTGCCTGGTATTTCTGAACAACAACAAAAACAACAAATAGGTAAAGTACTTTGCATCTGTCAAAATACATTCCTATGATAATGATCACGACACTGTAGCTTTCAGATACTTAGCAGCATGAATTACCTTTGGTCCCATTGGCCCTGGTAGACCTGGTTCTCCAGCTGGACCCTAAAATAAAACATTATATGTTAAGAAAGACACAACTTGTTGATCAATCTACAACCTCAACTGAACATTAGCTTTTACAAAGTTCTAAAGGTTCGACCACATATCCCAGTTGTTAAAGAGTATAACACTGGATATGCATGAACTGAAATAACTATTGTGTCTTACATATTGGATAAAATAAACAACATCAACATTGGTTTTTTTTAAATGTACCAATATTAGCCAGAAATATAAAGTAGCAACAACATCAATGGAAAGTGTCTTGTTGTGGAATCCTCTCCTGAAAGGTCTTCTCACCTCAAAAGTGAACTTTTTAAAAAAGTGAACTTTTAAAAATAAAGAATGCATAGGGCACATTAGATACATATAACAGTAACCCCCCCCCAAAAAAGTGAATAAAAGCATGGGGGGCTATGGTTAGGAGGGGAAGAATGACAGTAGAAGGGGATACATAACCACATCCACATAGGCTGTTTTTTCACCCATAATCATATCCCCACTTCCCAAATGCAAAGAAAAGGGTATAATATTATTTTGTTGATAAAACTGCATCAGAAAGAAGATTTTGAGCCAAAACAAATTGATGGAGATTAAAAGATTGAACAGTTTCCCTCTGCTAATGTCAATTTCTCTATAACTCCCTACACCTGCTATTAGATTGCACGTATCTTTGTTAAAATACCTTGTCTGGACAACTTCTCTAGAAATAGATAAACATATAATTATCTGGCAAACTGCTGTTCAATTTCTGTGTTGGCTGACTCGCATTTTGCCTTAGAACATACCAATTTGTTTGCTTCTCCACCCACAAATCTTGAAAGAAACTGCTTCTAAAGAAATGGTGAGGTACTTGCTAAAGGACAGTTTTGTAATACTTGTTATAATAAATAGTGGCTTTACTGTGATTCACAACTAAAGACAGTGGAACTTTGAAAGTATCAGACATAACATGTAAGAATCAGAATATACACCAATATGTGTCAATATTACAAGTGTTTCACCAGATAGATAGATAGATAGATAGATAGATAGACAGACAGACAGACAGACAGACAGACAGACAGACAGACAGACAGACAGATAGATAGATAGATAGATAGATAGATAGATAGATAGATAGATAGATAGATAGATAGATAGATAGATAGATAGATAAGGCTTCTCTTTCTGTATTTTTGCTGGATGGCTAGCTCAGTGGTTTAGGCATCTGATGTGCAGAGCCAGAGATTGGGAGTTTGATTCCCCAGTATGCCTCCTGTGAGTAGAGCCACTTTGTGTGGCCTTGGGCAAACTGCACAGTTCCAGGGTGCTCCCCCAAAAAGGGAATACTACTTTACTTCTGAGTATTTTCTACCTGGAAAATCCTGAAAAGAGTTGCCATATTCATTCATTCATTCATTCATTCATTCATTCATTCATTCATTCATTCATTCATTCATTCATTCATTCATTCATTCAACTTCTATACTGTCCATCTAGCTGCCAAGGCTACTCTGGGAGGTTAAAAACATGGTAAAACAACAAATAACACTTCAAAACATAATAACAATACAAAAAGTCAAATTAAACATATCAATACACTTAAACTAAAAAAAACAGAATAAAAAACAATTAATAAAGGCAAGGTGGTAGAGAAGATAATTTAAGTGCTTAAAAGAACCACTGCACTCTGTTGATGTAATATCTGGAAAAGCCTATCTAAACAGACGTGTTTTCAAAGATCTCTTTAAAATTCCCAGTGAAGGGGTCGGGTGAATTTTGGGCAGAAGTTCATTCCAGAGGTGAGGAGCAACAACCGAGAAGATCCAGTTTCTGGTCTTCTCTTTCCCGGCCTCTCTTGGGGTCAATGACCTCTCCTTTGGGGAGGCTACTCTCTCTGCTACGGATGAGGTTCACATTCTGGGCATACTTTCGGACCCAGTGCTATCAGTGGAGCCCCTGGTAGTGTCTGTGGTCCATTCTGCCTTTTTCCACCTGAGGCGGATTGCCCAACTGTGCCTCTACCTTGACATTGGGTCCCTCAACATGTAGTGGTAGTTTTTTAGATTACACTACAATAACACTCTTTACATGGGGTTGCCCATGAGGCTGCTATGGGAACATGCAAATTAGCCTATTTTGTTTGGTGAAGAGTCTTCAGGATTTAACCATAGAATTCCTTTGATGTCTGATTTCACAGACCTGAAAGAGTACCTCAGTTTCCTCCCTGCAACATTAACATGCCTTCAGCTTTATTTATGGGAGAGCTCTAAAATCTGTTTCTGGCATCAACTCCTGTGTTTTTTCCCCACCAACTGACTGTTGTTCAAGAAGGTTTATCATAACTGACATTATTTGTATTTATAGACTCTTTGTCTCGACTCTTCTGTGTAACATGTTTGGCATAATGCCTATTTCTGTGTATAAGCAGTATATTAGCCCTAGGATGTTCTGAACACTGATGTTTCTTGCTTTGTACACTACTTTTGCATATGTATTTTTCCTTTATGGTGGCTTACTCACTTTTCATTCTCAAATCTGCCTGGATAGCATAGGATTAGTTGGGTGGATAGCTCAGTGTGATGGAGCACTTGGATGTGGAGCCAGGAGTCAGGAGTTCAACTAGGGTCAGAAACAGCACTCTCTTTTATTTAACATCCGGTGCTTCCAGACCGAGAGATACTAGCTCTACCAAATGAAAGCACCAAATCAAAAGACACTGTAGAGCTAGTTTGCTTTTTCTTCTTTAACAGATTTTCTCTCACAAAAAAAGTTGGAAGCTACAGTAGGCAAAACAGGAGGGTTACAAATAGAAAATGGCATCATCTCCCCACCACACCCATGTTGTGTGAATGCAGCCAGACAACTGCACAATAACAGACCCATAATCCTACCATTTGGATTAAGACTGTCTCAATGGATGGTTGCTATTCCAGCTGAGGGAAGACTAGCATAACTGTAGTGCCAACAAGTATAAGAAACCATTTGCCTGTGCCAGCAGGTTTTAATTAAATCCTCCTCAAAACATACAATCTTCTTTTCAACTGTCACTTGAAATAGAGAGCAGATTCACTTGAAAGAACTCAGATGGGGAAAAAATTAACTCTGTGAGTTTGGGGAGAGTGATGTCATTCCCGATTCTATTCAAGAACTTTCACTAAATCATTCCTTTCGCAATGACTGTGGTCTCTTCCATTCACGGAAGTCCTGAAACCAGATTGTGAGGTCTGCTTTTGAGACTTCTGAGACAGGATGTAGCTGCGGCTACATGATTAAATGTTATAAACAGTAGAAGAATGAAATGCTACAGAGAAAATAAAAAGAGTCAATATTTTAACACAAGCCAACTACGCAGAGATTAGTTTGAAAACACTTAAAAGATTTCAGATCTTAGAAAGTGTGACACTGTTAATATCAACTTCACTTACATTTGGCCTTCTGGATCCTGGTATTTGCGGTTCACTGGATAAATCAGTGAATCCTGATCCTTCCATATCCTAATAAAAAGAAAAGAAAAATAATCTTGCTTTCATCTTTATTTAGAACAAGTGAGAAAGTTTCTAAGGTGGGTTATTAGACATATAAAGCATACTGTACTTTCAAACATTTATTTGAAACCTTCTGTCCTTAGCACACCACTGCATATAACTGAAATACAATCAATATGAACTTCTGATGTAAGAAAATGGTGATAACATGGAAGAATGGACACAGTCTCTGAAAATTCCAAAGCTGGGGAATCTCATTAGTTCTCATTCCACTAAGCTGACAGTATTTGAATGACGCCCATTCTGCACAATGCTACAAAGAAAGATACGTAGATCATTTGTGCACGCAGAACATCCTGAAAATGTTTATTCAAATAACACAATGGGCATACATTATATTTTCCTCTGCTGATGAGGATGGAAACAGAGGAATCCCATCTGCATTCACTTCCCTCTGTCTGAACTGCCAGCTTCTATAGCTGAGTAAAGAAGGGGACCCATAGCTGCTCCAAGATGTATCTTTAAAACAAGACAACTCCACCAGTGAGTTTCCATGGCCAAGTGGGGATTCGAGCCCTGTTCTCCAGAGTCCTGGTCTGTCACTATATCCACTACACCACACTCGTGGTCTTCAAAACAAGTCCAGAACTGATTTTCTTCATGTATGCCTATGGTCACACATTCCTCTGATGGGTACCGAGTTCTCCGAAACCAGCAAACTACCTAGCCTATTGTTGGCGTCTGTAAAATGGCTTTGGTTCCACAAAGTTCTGGTCAAGGTCTTTCTTGTTCCTGCTAGATTTTTTTTTTACTACTGATAACAGGCAATGAAGGATTGTCTCCTTTCAAGGCTGTTCCCTATTGCTGGGAATGCCTTCCTCTCCAATATTATTTATAAAATGCTTAACGTTCCATTATTTCAAAAACATAATAAAAGAACCCCTCATTTCACAAATAATTCCTGCATTTCTGCTTGAAAGCTGAGCTTCTCAAACCAGAATGCACATAAACAAGTGATCTGTTTTTGAAAAAAAAAGGGTACTTTACACAGGATTATATCGTAAATTCAGTTCCTAGTCCCAAGTACAGTACACCTACTGAATTCCTTTCTAGGTGGTGAGTCAACACTTCTACAATCCTCATACAACAATGGGTCTACTCTGTTTGGAATTACCAGTTTGATTCAGTCTTATACTTTTCCATTCAGCCACAGGACTTACACTTAATATCTCAGGATTACTTTTACCATAAGACAGCTGTCATTAGGAATGGGATGTTTTCTCAGAAAATGCCTCATTCTCGGTGCCATTTGGCATACAATCGAACAAATAAAATAAATAAGCCGCCCAGAGTGGTAGAATATACCAGATGGGCGGGATATAAATCGAACAAATAAAAATAAAATAAATAAAAAGGAGTCCTAATGATACTTTCTGTGCATCAAAGAGATTTTCTGCCACATCCTGTTCCCCCAACACACACACACACTTTCCCCCTATTGTGTTCTTCACAGAATACAGCCTAATCCAGGCAACCAAATCTTCTTGGTAGGAAGCTTTCAACCAGATTGCCAATCCATAAACCAACCAACCAACCAAAGAAACAAAACTGAACAATCCAACACAGAGGATCATTTTTAAAGGGTGCCTGCACCATTTTTTAAACAGACGTGAAAGATGATTTCTAAGGGAGATTTGGAGTGGGAGGGCTGAGATGGGAAGGTTTCAAACATAGTGCTAATCTTTTAAAATGAACAACTACAAGAAGCTGTTTTTCTTTCATGTAAGAAATGCTGCAAGACAGCAGAGAAATCCAAAAAAGGTTTCCAGCAAAACTTCTCTCCAAAGAAATCTTGAAGGAGAAAATCTCAGAATGAGAAGACAAGGGGAGAAGGAGAAGCTGTGAGATTTTCCTCTCTTCTTTGGACAGAACAAGAAGCTGAGTGATTCACCTCTCTAGTTCTCATATATCCATGTGTAACTGAAGAAACAATTAACTTTGTAGATCCCCTCACATTATCCTAATACCACTAGCTGCAGAATACCTAGAACATTCTACTACATCTAGTCACAGCTCTGAAGCAGTCATGGAATAAAATGCAACACATGCTTACACAGAAGTAAGTTTCACTACACTTAATAGGACTACCTCCCAATTAAGTCTGCACAGGAGTGTTGCGTTTGATAAGCGAGACTGCACTTCCTATAGAAACATCTTGTGACTGGAAGAGATGTTCCAATTCATACCACTAGAAGCTGAATCTGAAATGTACATCTCTGACTTGAGACTGCAGCTACCCGTTTTGAAATGTGCTTTAAGCAGAGAAGCCTGACCCAGTACTTGTATGGTGGGTTGTTGGGTTTTTAAAAAACTTTTCTTCTCCAACATACTGTAAATGGGTTCACTTTTTGGGGTAGGGGGTTCCTCATCTAGGTCAGGAATAAGGAGAGGAGTCATCTTCTTAACAACTTCTGGTTTATTAACATTTAACGGTTCATCATTATTCAAAAACGGATCTAACAGACTCATATCAGGCAACAGGCCAAAACTGTCCATCTGTGAACTCATCTTTTCCCCACCAGAAGCCAAAGGGGTGCAGGACCAAACCTCTCCGTGTCGGTCGAACTCCGAAGGGGGGCACTCTGCACCGCACAAATGGTCCCACAGCATGGGTGCCGTGCCCAGTCCTCTTCCAGAGGTGGTGTGTTGTGTCGCGTGTCCAGCCAGACTACCACCGACCACTCCAGCGGCTCTGTTTCGCTCTCCTTAGGTACAGGGTCAGGCAATAAACCTCCCACACGCAGGTGGGGAAAATCTCTCAACAACTCTTGGGTTTTAACCCTTTCATAGTCATGCAACTTCTCCAGCTCTCTCTTCCTCTTCCATATCTCAATTTCTACCTTGTACCATCGTTCACCGCTGTCATTTATCTCCTCTTCCCAAACGGACAACTCTTGCTCTTCACCTATCACGTCTTTTCCCTCCTCCACCAAACTTACTTCAAACCTCCCACCTTCCCGCGCTCTCACACATTCTCCTGCACTTTCTCTCTCTCTCACTGCCTCTGTTTTTAGCACTACTCCCTCCTTCATAACAACGTTCTCTTCACTAGTGGACGGCACACTCCCTGACGTTACTCCTTCACACATACACACAGACGTTTGGTGCCCTGATTAATAAAGACAGGTCTGTGTATTGATTTTATGGTAGTCTAATAAAGGTATCATCCACCTCTGTCTTTGGATTATGTACAACGGCCACACACTTTTCTTTCCTTTTTCATTTTTGCTCTCCTTTATTTTGCTTTGCCTTCATAGCTCAGACCTGCAGTCTCTTCCAGAGTGGTAGGGGCTGTCTGTGGTACACAGTGTAACATCACTAGGGTAATGTATGAAATGAGAGATGTTATTGTTACCCACAAACGAAAGCAGACTGTTATCTGTTGATATAATAGCTAAGAAAGAACAACTTCAGCAATTCCTCAGGAAATCTGATACTCAGCTTTCTTCCTCCCTCCTTCCCTCCATTCTTCTCTCTCTCTACCCTCACCCCTCTCAAAACGCCAGACAAAATGTCCTGTTGAGAACTGTTATACCTTTTGGACTATTAAAATGGTTACATGTTTTCTAGGAATCAGGGAATAGCTTATATTTTATCTTCTTTCATTGCTGTTCTTTCCCAACCATGCTATTATTAGTGTCTAGATGGTGATGTCCCCCCCCCGGTAAAAGAGCCCATAAAACCCCAATGTTTGTTATACATAAGTAGAATGTCACTTTCATTACCCCCAATGCCTTCTACAAGATATACTGTTGTTTTGGCAAGTATAAGTACAAGTAAAATCTAGGTTCATTTTCCTCTTGCTCAGTATTTAAATGCTGACTCCTGACTGATAATAGCAGATGCAACACAGCACAACAAGGCAAAATGTTACCTAAGGCACCTCTTGCACACAACAAATAAGCATGCAGCCCAAATCATGTGCTACTCAGTAGCCTAGTGCATATTCCCAGACTCAGGCACTATTGCCACTGCTTTGATTCCATTTTCTTTCTCAACCCACAAGTTTGGAGCAGATGTTTCCAAAAAGCTAGTTATTTTCTGATGCACGGCACTATAGAAGCAATCTATGAAATTGAATTAAAAGTATCAGACCTGAATGGAAGGAATGGTCAGGCAATCAACAGCTAACATTTCCACTGCAAGTTGTAATGATATTAAGGTCTTAAACTTCTGTAGCCTCTTCCTACAGCTTGAGATTTTTCCCCCTAGTGACTCCCATGCTCCGAAGTCATGGATTGAAAGCTGATTTGTTTAAACTGGCCAGATCTCTTGACCATCTCATAAGACTGTATAAACCTAAAGCAACCACCTCCCCATGCATTGCTCTCCCAGCCTACACTATTTTATTGCATAATCTTTAGTATGTTTTCTTTGCTCACCAAAGGCTGGGGGAGGACTAGTCAGTCACTACTGAGACTAGCATTAGCGCTAATTCTCCCTTGTGAAAGTTCTAGTTTCCATATTCCACTTTGCATGGTCCTGAACTCCCTAACCCGTATTTGTGTTGGATGGTATGAAAAGGGCCAGATGGGACTCTGTGCAACTTTTAAAAAGCATAATTTTAAGACTCTACTCATAAGATTTCTATAGTCTTTGTTCCCTGTTGCTATCTGTGACAGTTCCCAATTCACAACTAAATTCATAGTGGTTCTGATAGTGCCCTTTTACCAAGAGGATATTATCTGGAAATGTGAGTTATGCTTTTCCATGCCTATTTTCCCTACTTGCCCCTCTGCAATGTTTTTGGTACATCTTTCTCATTTTGGGCTTGATCTCTGCAGGTTTCCACATAAGATACAATGAGCAAGCTACATGGCCCCAGAGTATAACCCTTACATAAACAAGATGGCAATGAAAACCACTTATATTGTATACCTAGAAAGCTCTAGAAAGAGTTGCTATAGGTCTAACTTAACTTGATGACAGATAATTGTTGTTAGTCATTGCGTTCAATACTGAGGGGTGAATATCCATCATGACTAATAGTCTTGTCAACCATGACTTTGTCTTTCTAATCGCAGTAGCAAATATCCTGTTCTTCCCTTCCATTCATGCAATGTTCTGTTGTGTGACTGCTTCAATATTGACAGAGCTTATGTAGGGAGGTATGTAGCACCCTCTTAATGCAAGCGGAGCCCCACTTGATTCAAATGGGTATCTTCTGCAAACTCTGCCTCCCACATCATTGACAAAGCATAACACTCTTTCTGCATTCAAATAAGATACTCACTATAATCTACTTTTTAAAAAATATCTCAAGTGCTTTTCATCTGCTGACAGACCCGTGGACTACACACTTTACCTCATTTACAGCTCATGTATTTCAAGAATTAATCTTATTTTTCTCAGCTTTTCTTTCTTTAAGTAAGCAGTTATGGTGAGAAATACTGCTGTATGCACTTCCCATACTGTACAATCCGAGAATGCGTTCACTAAATTTCTGTCAAAATGTAATTTCAGCTACCTTCAGCTTTTATGTTGCTTTCTTGTCAGGATTTGTTCATTCCAACTCAATCATTTTATGTAGATGCTGTCAGTGGCCAGTACTCATAACATGGAACAGTAGCTTTCCATAGGGTCTCTTCCAGCTCTGCAGTTCAAAAGTTGTTATTATCATGGCTTTTCAGGGAGGCTTTCCACACCGACTCTAGCTGACCGCCTTTTGTCCACCATTTTGTTGTTCTACAGTTTGTGCTGTCTGGTTCTAGTGGTTATTTGTTATTTGTTTTTATATACTTTCATTTCATTTCATTTTGTTTATTATTGTAATAATAAACCCAGAGTAGTGCTTTTTATTTAAGTAATAAAGAAAGAAAGAAAGAAATTATTATAGTTGCCGGCCACAGAGACTGGTGAACTATTAGGAAGAAAAACCTGAAGAACATAGCCAGACATCCCGAAAAACCTACAACAACCACCGGATCCCAGCTGTGAAAGCCTTCAAGAATACAAATTATTATAGCTTTAGCTAAATTATAGCTTCCATCATACAAACTCCATGTGTGTCTCTTTTGGGAACAGAGAAATCTGGATTTTAGAGCCACCAGCCCGCCACTGACAGCTCTAAGGTAGCAACAAAAGTGACCTAGAACTAATTACAGTGTGAGCTACGGATGTACGTGTAGTCTTATTAAGATCATGATTTTAATAGCTACAATTCATTGCAGTTTTGCTGCTTGAATGAACATGGGAAGTCTCTAATGTCACAGAAGAGATCCTTCCTTGGAAACGTTTCAAAATTTCAAAACAAAACCAATGTTTTAATTGAATAGTCTGACAAATAATAAATAACAACAGCCAGTACAACCACAACATGTAATCTGTCAGTGTAGACCTACCATGATTGCAAACACAGATAATTTGCATGTGAAAACATCATTCTAAGTACCTTTGGAAAAAAGTGCTTAGTGCTTTTGATTAAGGGCACAGTAGCTCTAGTACCTGGTTGGAATACAGCTTGCAGAGCCAGAGGCTGGGATTTCAGTTCCCCACTCTGCATCCCAAGAAAAAAAGCCAGGCTATGTAGCCATGAGCAAGCTGCACAGTCTCAGAATGCCCACAGAAGGTGGAAATGGTAAACTACTTTAGAAAATCTCTGTCTAAAAAACCCTGGAAAAAGCTGG